GAAAAAGAAGAGAAGGCACAAGTAAATGATACTACGAATGATACAGCCCATGGCCAATATCATAGTGAATTGGCAAAAGTTGAAAGCATTCTCCCTAAGAACTGGAGCAAGACAAGGGTGCCAGCTGTCACCACTTCTATTCAACATAGTACTGGAAGTTCTAACCAGAGAAATAAGGCAAGACAAAGAAATAAATGGCATCCAAATTGGGAAAGAGGAGCTCAAACTATTCCTGTTTGCTAATGATATCAGCAACATACAAGATATTTTCTTATATCTAGAAAACCCTAAAGACTCCACCAAAAGATTCCCATAAACGATAAATAAATTCAGCAAAGTCTCAGGTTACAAAATCAATGTACACAAATCAGTACTATTTCTATATACTAATAACCATCAAGCAGAGAATCAAATCAAGAACTCAATACCATTCACAACAGTTACAAAGAAAATAAAATACCTAGGCATATAATTAACAAAGATATCTGCAAGTAGAACAACAAAATACTGATGAAAGAAATTGCAGATGATACAAAAAAATGGGAAAACATTCCCTGCTCATGGATTGGTAGAATCAACATGGTTAAAATATCTATTCTGCTCAAAGTGACTTACAGATTGAATGCAATCCCCATCAAAATACCAGTGCCACATTTCACAGATCTACAAAATATAATCCTAAACTTTATTTGGAACCTCAGAAGACTCCGAATAGCCAAAGCAATTTTAAGCAAATAGAACAAATCTGGAGGCATCACATTACCTGACTTCAAATTATACAAGACTATAGTAACCAAAACAGCATAGTATTGGTATAAAAGTAGAGACAGACCAATGAAACAAAATAGAGAACCCAGAAATAAAACCATCTACCTACAACCAACTGATCTTCAACAAAGCAGATAATAACACATACTGGGGAAAGGAAGCTCTACTCAATAAATGATGCTGGGAAAATTGCATAGCCACATGGAGAGGAATAAAATAGGACCCCTATTTCTCACCATATATTAATATAAAAATTAATTCAAGGCCAGGCATGGTGGTTCATGCCTGTAATACTAGCACTCTGGGAGTCCAAGGTGGATGGATTGTTTGAGCTCAGGAGTTCGAGACCAGCCTGAGTAAGAGCAAGACCCCATCCCTACTAAAAATAGAAAGAAATTAATTGGCCAACTAAAAATATATAGAAAATATTAACCAGGCATGGTGGCACATGCCTATAGTCCCAGCTACTCAGGAGGCTAAGGTAGAAGAATTGCTTGAGCCCAGGAGTTTGAGGTTGCTGTGAGCTAGGCTGGCACCATGGCACTCTAGTCCAAGCAACAGAGTAATTGAGACTCTGCCTCTAAAAAAAAAAAAAAAAAAAAATTAATTCGAGATAGTTTAAGACTTAAATATAAAGCATGAAACCATAAAAATTCTAGAAGAAAGCATAGGAAAAACTCTTCTAGACATCAGCCTAGGCAAAGAATTTATGACTAAGACCCCAAAGGCAAATATGGCAATAACAAAAATAAATAAATGGGACTTAATTAAATTAAAAAGCTTCTGCATGGCAAAGAATATAATTAACACAGTGAATAGACACCTACAAAATGGGAGAAAACTTGCAAACTGTATAGTCCAACAAAGGACTGATATCCAAGATCTACAAAGAACTCAAACAAATCAGCAAGAAAAAAACAACCCCTTCAAAAGGTGCACAAAAGACATTAACAGAAGTTTTTCAAAAGAATATAGACAAATGGCCAAAAAAAGTAAAGAAAGAAATGTTCAACATCACTAATCATCAGGAAAATGCAAATTAAAACTACAGTGAGATAGCAGAATGGCCATTGTTAAAAAGTCAAAAATGATAGATGCTAGAGTGGATGCAGAGAGAAAGTAATGCCTATACACTGTTGGTGGGACTGCAAATTAGTACAACTTCTATGGAAAACAGTATGGAGATTCCTCAAAGAAATAAACACAGGCCTACCATTCAATCCAGCAATCCCACTGCTGTGTATCTACCCAAAGGAAATGAAGTCATTTTACCAAAAAGATAGCTGTGTTTGGGTGTTTATCTCAACACAATTCATAATTGCAAAGACGTGTATACAACCTAAGTGCCCTTTAATTCATAAATCAGTAAACAAAATGGTTTATATGTACCATGGAGTACTACTCAGCCATAAAAAGGAATGAAATAATGTTATTTACAGCAACTTGGATGGAACTAGAGACCATTATCCTAGTATCTCAGGAATGGAAAACCAAATACCATAATTCTCAATAATAAGCGGGAGCTAATAGATGGGTATATACAGGCACAAAGCAATATAATGGACATGAGAAACCAAGAATTGGGGAGGTAGAAGGGTGGGTTTGGGATAAAAACGTACCTATTGGTATACCTATAGGTACGTACCTATGACTATCCTGGTCATAGGCACAGCAAAAGCCTTGATTTAAGCATTATACAAGATATCCATGTAATAAAAACACCAGTACCCTCTTAATTGATATCTTGACATTTTTAAAAATCAGATAACATAGCAGATGAAAAGCAAATTAGAGGTCAATATTATTCATGAATATTGATGCAACAATCTCATGACAACATCACAACCAAACCAATCAATGTATGAAAAGATAATATTTCTTAGCCAAAGTGGGTTCAACATTTTTTGAAAAATCTATTAATATAAATCAACACATTTATTAATTACTTTAGTAAAACTATGTAATTGTTTCAATAGATGTAGATAAAGAATTCAGTGATTTTCCTGATAAAAATAACACAATAAAATGGAAGGAATGTCCTTCCTACAATAAGCATATCTACGAAAAAACTTCAGAAAGCATCATCCTTTAAAGGGAAATGATAACTTTCCTCAATGTCAGTAATGTGGCAAAGTTTGGCAAATGTTTTTAAAGTCTCAAATACCACAACTTAGTGAGAACATAGGGCAAAGCGATTCTCATATACTGCCAGTAGAGAGTAGATTATATTGGAAAGCATTTTGGCAATGTTAAAGTTATGTGTAACCTAAAACCTACTAATTCATGCCCTAGAGAAGTGTCACTCAAAGTGTGTGTCTTGGACCATCTGCTGTCCACAAACTGTTATCAGAGAATGGAGCATTTCGAGTAATGCTACACTTAAGGAAATCTTACATATATGCACAGGAAGACATTTATAAAAATGTCACTGCAGAATTCTTTGTAATAACAAAAAAATCGGAAATCAATATACTTGAGCTGGAAATGGATAAATAAATTGTGGTACATTAACACAATGGAATACTATACAGCCATTAAAGTCAATAACCTAAGGCCAGGTGCAGCTCACACCTATAATCCTAGCACTTTGGGAGACCAAGGTGGGAGGAGCACTTGACACCAGGAGTTTGAGGCCATCCCAAGCAACACAGTGATACCCAATCTCTACAGAAAATAAAAATAATAAGCTGGATATGGTGGCAAGCACCTATAGTCCCAGCTACTCGGAAAGCTGAGACAGAAAGATCCTTTGAGCCCAGAAGTTTGAGATTGCTGTGAGCTATGATGATGCCACTGCATTCTAACCCAGGCAACAGCAAGAAACTCTGCCTCAAAAAAAATTTTTTTAAACTATATCTATATCTATTTCTCAATAATCTAGCCTAAGAAATATAACAATGATATATTTTAGAGAATAATGTTAAACATAAAAGACAAGCTTCAGGATAATACATACAGAATATTATTTACCTAAAGACTAAAAACATGCCCAATCATGTTATATTTTAAGGATACCTGCATATCTAGTAAAGGCATAAAAACATACCTTTACATGATTTATGTACAAAACATGGAATGTTAAACAAATTCAGGATCTGGGGAAGGAGAGGTAGGACTTGGATCAAGGAGGAAATACACAGTGGCTTCAACTATGTATGCTAATTTTTTTGAAAAGTTGTCAGCAATTACAAACAAAAAAAATATTAAGAATTGATATACCTTAATGATGGCTCCATGAGTATACAGTATATTTTATTGAGTATATTGTAATATTTTATGTACTTTTTTATGTGTTTGAAATCCTTCACAATCATTTTTGAAGTCTTGATTTAGAAAGAATGGATCTTAAAGTCCTCATTCTAGAGATGAAGGTGAACCATGGAGAAGTTAAGAGCTCACACAATGGCCCTAGAAGCCATGTCCCCACATCGCACTGACCACTACACATGAAGGTCACAGAAGACCCTTAGGAGTTGTCTTTCTCATATCTTTGACGTCACTACATAATGATCTTTTTCTTCTTCAGGGAAACAGATAGAATTAACAAATTGTTAGTTAAACAAGTTATACCAAGATCTGTAGACCTCTCTCCAGAAGATAAACTATGCTAAGGAAGAAGTAAATATAGCCATTGCAGAGCCCCTGGCTCACAGCCCCTTTTTTGGAGATTTTGCTGACTTGCTTTCCATGATTCCATTAAAGAACAGACAAAACCTACACCTAAGTGTCCGAATGTGGTGATAAACATCCCTAGTGAACCCGCCCGAAAGAGAGTAAGAAAGTTATGATCACATGCCACCAAGAACCAGAGTTTCTGACCCAGGGGAGGTAATAAAGTGATCACAACACCTCTTCTTCTTGAAGCAGACTTCCCCACAGAGTTGGCTGTGGGATATATGCAAACCTTTCCAGGTCTGTTTCTGTTATAAATTGTGACTCATACGACCTTCAGAGACCCAGACTTCTCAGAACATAAAGATAATTCCCCAGGGGAAGGTTGGAAGCAGCGCAAGTAGTAGCTGAATTATGCTTATACTTGGTTGGATAGGGCAATAAAAGCCCTTTGCGCTTTATCTTTTTGGTGTACCGTGATTTAAAAGTTTTTAAGACCAAGCCTAAGCAGAGGAGTCAGCTCTTTGACCTTGGCCTATTATAAGGCAATGAGATTAGGTCACATTGGATGAGGTATTCTATTACTCGAGCAGTAAGGGTACAGGACAGGTATAGAATACCTTTCTTCTAAAATCTTCTGGAATTTGATTCACATCAGTTTGCCCTGTGCTCTGGCTTGGAACAATGTGAAGACATTAGATAGTCTTTCATCTCTCATTGCTTCCAGCTGGCTCAGAAACCCAGCTTTAAAAAATACGTAAAAGAAATAAGTCAGATGTTAGTTCCATTCATAATGGGTATTGAGCAAATGTCTATTGAACTGATGGTGTGAGCAGTTGATGTGTTCCTTGGGACAACTTTATCAATTCTATTTCTTGTTAAGTTTTATTTAATGGGTAAAATTTACCTCCTAAAAAGCTTAATTTTATAAATCTAAAATTTGCAAAAAAAAATTATTTAATCCTGTGGTTATGGGAATTGCTTAAGAATTTAACCTCTTCTCCCTCTTCTCTATTAATAATTTCTAGATTGTTCAGAGAATCTGTTTTAACTTTTAAGATGGGCCTAAGCATGCAATGCTCCAAAGTGTCAAGCAGGGGTCTAAAAACTTTTTCTGTAGAGGGCCAAGTAGTAAATATTTTTAGGCTTTGTAGGCCACATACGATCTCTGTAAGATATTCTTGTTTGTTTTCAAACAACTCTTTAGATATGTAAAACCACTGTTAGTGGGCCATATAAAAAAATAGGCTTTGGATATAGCTCTTAGGCCATAGTTTGCTGACCCCTGCTCTAGAGGAAGGCACTTTTGCCCTGTGCATCAAAGAATACACATAAATATTTTTTCAAGAATAATTAGTAACAACCAAAGTGAGGTGAGTAAGGTACCTAAGGCACCCTGAGTGCCTCCATAAAATCACTTTATACAGCCTGAGAATGAGTACTTCTCAATCTCACTTCACAACCCTGAGAATGAATGCATTCTTCACATCTGTGCCTTAGGAGCTTTACTTGCCTGGGTCAGTCCCAGCTCAGATGAATAGTATACAGCAAAAATAACTAAATACACAGGAGGCAAGGCATCGTTAATGAAAATCAGCAGAAATAATAAACAACTAAAACTGACTCTCGGGTACTGAAAATGTGGGAGTCGAGTAATATTTCATAACCATGTCCTACAGAGTTCTATTTCTCTGAGTTATTCACCCTAGATCTTCCAACTGTCCCTCAAATAATTTGATCCTTACATGAGTGTCATTAGAAACTTGACTTACAGACCAAATCAAATCTTATAGTTAGTTAGAAGTTTTTTAGAATTTAGAGAATCACAAAGAAGTTGGTTTTGCATTAATTTTTTGGATAGTGGGATTGACGCTTAAGTTATTAAATTACTCAGCTAGTCTTCTAGAAATGTTTCCCTAAAAGAGTACTGCGGATGAATCAGTTCACACTCATACAAGCCATTAACTCCAGGAAGTTGATTCACCTTTTTCTAGCTCAGATGTATACATATTTTCTAGCATCATAAGGTTGATTCAGTATTTTCTATCTTGGCACAAATTTGCCTAGATGACTAATTATAAAAATGCAAATGTAGTCAAGACTGAGGTTTAAAAAGCATTGAATATATTTTTTTCCTCAAACAGCACTGAAGTCTCCACCTTCAACTGAGCTCTATTTGTGCTATTTGTGGTCACAAGAGCTGAAGAATGCCTTATAATTAAGCATTCACAGGTATTTTAAGATACACACTCTTTCTTCCCACCCTTCTCCAAATGCATCCTTTGCAGTTTTCTGGTTACCTTAGTGATTCCAAATTGGTAGTGGGTACGGTCTATCTCCAAGGAGCCAAGTAGTTCCTTAGCCACTTTTCTGCTGCTCACAAACTTGCTCTTTGGAAAGGTTTTGGGGTTCAGAATACAGTACCTAACTTAAAATAGGTAAAGAATAAATCCTGGGGTAAGGGTATCAAATGATTTCAATAAAGACAAATCTGAACAAGTGAAGTGAAGGAGATATAGACTTCTCTCTTACCAATATGTTCAATTTTCATAAAACTCTCAGTAGCAATAGTGAGGATACAACTAATAATCCCCTGCAGTGGTATAATAGTTTGTGCTTTTTATAGTGCTTTAGAGACAATCTCATTTGATTGTCTGCTCACTTAGGCAGGGAGGAATTGGATGGGGAAAGAGAGGGAGGGGACAAGTGTGAATATATCTATTGTATAAATAAGGAAACTGAAAAGCAGAGACATTAAATGTATTTTCTAAGTTTCCTTCACCCTATTGGTGATTTGGTGAAAAACAAGAAATATGCCTCTTAATTCTAAGACAGGTACTCTTTCTACTCTACCATACTTTGCTCAGGCTTGATGATCTGTACATTTATCCTCCTAGAATTCAGGAAAGAGAAAGCAAAGATGCCTCTCCTGCCTCCTGCCACACACCCTCCTGGCTTCCTTCCTTTCACAGCCTTGCTAGTAAGCACCAGCCTGCTTGGATGGCAGCTACGATTAAGTATATACAACATTTCAGAGATTCAATTCAGCCTCCATATGTTTCTTCTGTATATATTTCTTCTATATGTGGGTCTATTACCTATTAATAGAGATTTAAGGATATTACAGTTACATGGATGTTAGATTTAAGGGGAAATAATAATAGAACCCTGTCATCATATATCTCGCCACCACCAAAACACATCGATTTGTAGTCTGGAGGACATCAACCAAACAAACAATGCATGCCTAAACACTTGGAAAGTGAGGAAAACAGAATGGACTGCCTCAGGCTTCTTGGATTCTAGAATGTATGTTTGTTTACCTTTGTTTAAAATCAGCATACGGCAGTCAATTTGGAAAACCTTCAGAGTATATTCTAATTCCTTCCAAGATATCATTACAGCACAACTGCTGTAGAACCAAGTAAGGGTCCATTATGCCTGAAAAAACAAAAAGGGTCATGTTGAATCTGGGCCCAAAAAATGTACTATCCCAGATTATGTCCCAATAATTGTATATTGGATTAAAAAGAAAGAGTCTGAATTTGATATTCTCTACATGATAGATCCTCACTCACTCCCAGCTGGATGGTACTCACCGTACCCATCCAATTATGTAGGAGTCTCCAAATATGATTTCCCTGAAACTGCTTTAACATGGAACAAGCCCTTTTATCACAGTTAGATAAGATTTTAAGTAAATACTCCTGGAAGGCAGAGGAGAAAAGTACAATTTTTGCTAGGATGTAAATGGCTGGTATCACATTCAGTCACTAACCAAAAACCAGCTAGAGAGGGTGATAAGAAAACAAAAGGGAGCTGTCATCTACAAGTAGGAGGGAGATGGAGTAACAAAAAGGGGGAATGAAAAGAAAAGGGCAGATGGACACAACCACAGAATTCTTAAGTTTTGTTCAGGAAGGACTGGTTCACCACATCTCAGCCTTTATTCTTCCCTTATTATCTTCACAGGGCCTAAGTTTTATTTTATAGTATAAGCATCCGTCTATCACCTCCTCATTCATCAAAAGAAGCCCTATTACAGCTGTGAGCAGCTATTGCCAATAGAAGCCACTGTATCTGGCCCTCATTAAGTCTTCTGGAATAAGGCAGGGAGTATACCTCCTAACACAAAGACCTACTATGGCTTTATCAGAGAAATGAAAAAAAAAAAAAAGATGACCCTGCTTATGCCAGGGTCACAGAATAAACTTAAGGCATATACCCATATTGCTGTACTCCAATCCTTTTCGTGGACAGAAACAGATGATCTGTAAGAAGGGACAAGAGCAGAGACCTATGATGCCTTAAAATCAAACACATTCATTCCCCTTAAGTACATATGAAGAACTGACTTGATTAGATCATGAAGCTTTTCTCATAACTTTGTCTTATGACTTTAACAAAAATGCTGAAATCAGAGCTGACTCGATGGGAGGCAACTCTAATAGGTAACAGAATTGCTCCAAAATAGAGGCAGCTAATTAGATTCCTCGCTAGATGGAAGCAGTGTCCCTAGACACATTCAGAAACCCAGCTGATAAGAAACAATGAGGCAAAAACATACAGCCGTGAATGAACATGAAGTGTTTGCATTGCAAAAACTCAAATTGCAGCATCATTGTTTAGCATCACAGTTTCCCAAAATAGGCCACAGACTATCAAGATCGGGGACTTAATCACAGGGAGGTTAATAAAAATGCAAGATACTCAGAAATCAGAACCAGCAACATCTGGCTACATATTACGGGGTAGTTAATGGTTAGTGCTCTGAAGACATAAGGGCTTATCATGTACACTCCTTCAAGGCTAACAGCCTCTGACCAAAGCTCCAGAGAGGTCTGTAATTCCAAAGGGATGGCCGGAAATCTTCAAACCCATAACGTAAGGAAAGCTATCAGTGCAGTTAATTTAAGTAAAAACTTTGCTTTGGGAATTTGAAACATAAAAAAAAAATTTCCCCTTCTTCCCCTTGGGGGCCCTTCCTTTTTTTGCCTTGCCCCCCTTTCTTTCCTTCTTCAAAAATTTTCGGTTGCCTGGATTTCCTTACTTTAAAAAAAATGAATACTGTTTGGGAGAGGGAAGATAATGTTAGTATTAGGGAGAAAGACAGAGGGAGTTCTCAAAAATTGCAAATGAATTTATCTCAATTTAGATAACTCAGGCAAATAACTTCCTTTATGCTGAGATATCTACCTGAATCCCTCAATTGATTATTCAATTCCTTTTTATTATACTTTGCCCTTGTAGACAATGGCATAGGAGCTCATCCACATTTAGCATGAAATTCAAGGAGGAATTTAAATGGTAATATCAAGCATTCTAATTTTGTCCAATTGAGCTTACTTTGTGGAATCCTTCCATATATCCACTAGAATTTCAATTCCGAGTCAATCTTAAGGAGGTTCTGAAGACCTCACTTTTAACTTACTTTCTTTTTTCTATATGAAAATCTACCCTTATATAAAAGAAACCAGTAAGTGTTTCTTAAAAAATATTCAATATAGCTGAAATCAAATGTACTTCCCAGTGTGGATTATAAAGAAATCAAGTTCTTACCTGGCATTTTGTTCATGTTGGGATTTATGCAACTCACAAAATGAGGTACTGTTGATTTCAGATTAGTCATCAATTTATTTAGGTTTTCCTAAAATGGAGAACACAGTAAACACAAAATCACTTTACAAATCACTAACCCATGCCACAATCACAAATCACTAATCCACATAATAAACACAAAATCACCTTGCACAACACCAATCTACCTCACAAATATCTCCAAATCTATCCACTTCATCTTACAGCCAAGAAGAATATCAACAGTAAAATAATGAATTCAACATTCTTCCCTGCCTACCAAGTGTACATTATTTCTTCCCTATGGCAAGTCAATATTTATCTGACAGACACAGCTCCATTGTGAATCGTCTCTACCTGTTTTGAATTTGATAGCAATAACTTATGGTTGGGCAATAAAATGGCTTGAAAAAAGAAATTGTTTCTCAAGTTTTCTCTCTGTGGCGAATCTTTATCTTCCGTCAGCTTCTCTACAAGCAGAATCTGATATGGGAATTCTGGTTTGAAAGATTTATTTCGAGAGTGAGGAAAGCAGCGAAGAGCAGGAGAAGAAAAAAAGCAATGATGTGGACTCAGCTTTAGTCTGATCCCTGGAGGAGCTGTGAGCACAAATACACCACTTGCACTATAATTGGTCCCCCACTTAAGGCAAAGAAGAGGCCAAAATCTGGAGGGCAGGACAAGGAGGCAGCCTAGCTTCCCATCTGACCAAGGGCAATTCTGGCAACTGAGAGTTTTTATGGGCCAATATTCACATCAGCTGAAGATGTGCACAGTGATGATAAATGGGACCCAGGTGGGCCACAAACAGTGTCCACTAAGGCTCTTGATAATACCAAAATAAACTTCAACTTTTCCAGCTTGGCTAACTTCAGGTACTTTATCCTTATTTGCAGATGGGAAGTTTCAAATAAGCAATAACATATGCAGGTTGTTGAAAATAAAAAATAAATGCGCTCAAAAATTACTTTATGCAGAGATGCAACTATTTGGAATGAAGCTCCTTTCTTGTTTCTTCTCCCCAACGTTATAGCTAAGAAAAAAGAAGAAAGAAGCATTTTTAAAGCTCTTTTTTTTGTCACATTAATATACCCTGCTGATAGAAGCATAGATTCATCGAAGTTCTAGAAACAATATGGCAACACCTAGCAAAAGCTTCAAAAACATTTTATGTATTTTAATACAAAATGTCTATTTCCAGTGCTTTTTTTTAAGGATATAATCTGGCAACTGTACAAAGATACTCAGTGCAACATTCTTTAATCATTGCAAAAAATTAGGCAAAAATAAAATTAATCAACAAATGTCCATCATAGGAGATTAGCTAGTTAAATTATGAAAAAATATGCATGCAATGAAACACTGTAACCTTTAAAATGATGACATGGATCCATATAACTAATGTGGAAAGATTTCTAGGACATATTTTAGGAGAAAAAGGAGGTAACAAAGCCTATATCTTGTATATTATGATCCTGAGTATGCATACATGTTTTTGAGCGCAGTTGTGCTATGGGTAGCTATAAACATGAAACATGTTGGGAGGCATATATTCCAAAATGTTAGCAGTTGTTATCTCTCTATGTGAGATTATAGGTAATTTTTATGTACTTCTTTTTAGTTTTTCCATATTGTCTGTGTTTTGTCAACATTAGTGTATGTATAATTTTTATGATTTATAAAAATAAATAATTTCCATTTTCCTGAAGCAAAAGAACCTATGCTAAACTGTTTTACAAACATTTGCAAAGTCTAAATCATTAAGATATACAACAGCTGCACCAACAAAATCCATAGGTGACCTGGAGAAAATCAGTTAGCTATAAATATGGAAAACCAATAAAATATTCTCTGGGCTTGAGTAGCAATGTGAGATGGCAGATATCACGAAGTTTAATCACTAATGTCCTTTTGATATGCCCTAGGTCTCTAAGTGACTTACTTGACCTCTTTGTACTTCAATTTCTCCCTCCATGAAAAGGGAATAATACTATATTTCATTAAGTTTTTTAAAAAGACCATCTGGGGGATGGTCATGCTGGAAACTCAGACTTGTGGGGGGAGGGGGAAAAGGGCATTTATTGAAACCTTAAAATCTGTACCCCCATAATATGCCGAAATAAAAAAAAAAAAGAATTATAACTCTGGTTTAAAGTATTTGGATTCCTCAGTAAAAAAGTATGGTTATTATAAGTGATTAAATGTTTGGATGGGTCAGAAACTTGGAGACAAGTATATTCATGGAGTGCTTAAAGAATTATTAAAAAAAAAAAATTCTGGACAATTCTTCTCTTCTAGTTCCAAAGAACACAGCACACACCCTGAAGAGTTAGAAGATGATTTCTTCTCTAATTGTCTGTCCAAACCACTCTCTGATCTCTTATGATCAGAGAATTACTCAACTGGGAACCATAAGCTCATGTGGCTACCATCTAACAGGCTTCTCAGAGGTACTTTAGAAGCTATTAGAATCAGGCAAATGCACTGCCTGAAGATTAGCCGGGTCCAAACAATAGCTTCCATTTCTCAACCTCCTCTTGAGGCAGGCCCAGAGGGTTTCAGACACAGTCCTGAATTATGTCATAATGCACTAATAAAGCCAGGAAATGCTAAATTACCTCTCTACTCCCTGACCGTGTCAATCAGGAGTCCAAAATCAGCCCAAGACGAGCCAGGAGTGAACATGAGTCTGGGTGTAAGCTAGGAGAAGAGTGAGAATGTTGGGAAGTGAGAATACACCCCACATTTAAAGAACAGCTCATGTACTCTGCCCCACTGTTGCTGTGGAGGAATCTGAATCCAGGCAGACCAGATTTTCTATTTTCCTAGCATTTCCATTATTCAAAACAAAAGAGAAATCCACATGTACACGTGAAATCTCCTGATTGTTTAACCTATGTGGACCAAACAAAATATGTTTGAAGGCTATGTTCTGCTCAGGGGCTGCCAATCAGTAACTTTTGCTGTAAATCATGGAGCGCTTCCGTCTGTAGTTGGTGGAAGTTCAGCTGTGAGGTTAGTGTTAGCAACTTGGCTCAGAGTCTTCAAATTCATCATACGATGGTGCAGAAGTTTGCATTGTATCCTAAATGTATGTAGCCTGTCCATCTTTCTATTCTGTTTGTTTGTTTGGGGGAGACCCTAAGAGTGCACTAGGCATTAGACTAGGAAACAGAAGTCCTGCTTCCTACCTAGCTGTGCCATTTAGATTTGTAAAACTGAGGATGCTACTTAACAGAAGACATACCTGAAAAGGTCATGGCAAAATTGAGTAAGATAATGTATCTAAAAGTGCCTTGTAAATTACAAACTACTAAACAAGATTAGTTGTCAATTGGTAAATAAGTACTTATGGAATGCCTTCTGAACTGGCATTTGCTACATGCTAGAGGCTACAGTTGAACAAGTCAGACATAATCCCTGTCTTCATGAAGCTTCTAATAACCCCAAGTGCACAGAGCACTGTGAAAGAGAAGTCCAAGATATTTGGGTAAAATATATATATATAAATATGTATTTGGGGAAAGTATATATATGTGTGTGTGTGTGTGTGTGTGTGTGTATCTAAAAGTGCCTTGTAAATTACAAACTACTAAACAAGATTAGTCTCAATTGGTAAATAAATACTTATTGAATGCCTTCTGAACTGGCATTTGCTACATGCTAAAGGCTACGGTTGAATATATGTATATATATTTGGGGCTTACTATTGCTCCCAAATCATTCATTGAAACATGATTTTTTTGTTCTCCCTTTGCAGCTAGGTCGAGTAGAAGATAAAACAGGCCAGAAACAGACTCCTTGAAATATATCTATCTTAGGGCACTAGTACCATTTCCCTGAAGAACCAGCCTGAGAACAGAAAGCCTAAAAGGAGGGGACGACTCAGACCACAGGGAGCAGAACATATCACAGTAAGGAAGCAAGGATTTTTGTAAAAGCTGAGGCAGCCACGGGTTCCATTCTGAGGCTGAAAAATCAAGGAAGATTATGTGACTCACCACTGTCGGTACAGATATAATTTTCAAAAAGGCTTGCCAGGAGTCTGTTGGAAGACTTCTGAAAATACAGCCACCACTGTCTCATTAAGGAGGTCTTTGTTCTTTTCAAGCCAACTAGTGATGTTATAAGGTACCTTTAGAAAGACATGCATTTCAGGTAACAAAGGGAAAAATGCATAAATTTACATAGCAAATTGTTCATTACTTTAAAAAATCACAGATTACGTGGGTCCTTTAACTTTGAATCAGTTTCACATAACAGTACTGAATAATACTTTAAAAGTCCATTGTGCAGCCCAAAGAGATTCTCAAGCTTTACCATTTACACTCCCCAAAAGAAAGGGAGAGACAGGAAGAGGAGAGTGGAGAGCGAAAGAGAGTAGGGAAGAAGTGGGAGAGAGAGGTGGAGAGGAAGGAAGGATTAAATGGTGTTTCCAGTAGAAACAACTCACATCAGCAGTCCTTCTATGGGCAAGAATAGATGAAATAACCCAACTGTCCCCGAAACACAGTAAGCACTCAAAAGAGGGTGACTATGGTTAACAATAATTTAATGTACATTTTAAAATAACTAAAAGTGGAATTGGAATGTTCTTAACACAAAGCATACATACTTGAGGTGATGGCTACCCCAATTGCCCAGATTTGATCATTACACATTGTGTGCCTGTATCAAAACATCACATGTATCCTGTTAACATATACAACTATTATGTAGCCATAATAATTAAAAATAAAAATTAAAAGAAAAAAATGTTAGGAATTACAATGGTATTTTGCTATAAGTATCATAATTAATATGACAAGATATCAAAAAAGAGAACTATAAGCATATCTGTGAGTACAGTTGGTGGGCCATTTTTAGGTTGAAGTATTATTTTATCCTTTATCAATTCTCTTTTTGTTCCACCCAGAATCACTGGCCAGAGGCAGAAAAGCAGAAGAAAGGGGCACTCACACCAGCGGGGAAATGAGGAGAGGTAGTGAGGGTCATTAGAAACCTTTGTTGGCCATAGTTTGGAGACCATTACTTCACATTGACTATTTCTTTATGGGAGAATAAAAAAAAATCTTCAATAAAAAGATCAATTGAAATGATTCAATCACACAATGTTAAGTTAAAAGGAAGGACAAATAAGGGAAAAGCCCCTGACTTTGATGGTGTCCATGCCTTTCTGAAGCTGTCTTGCTTTGAGTCGGGGTGACAGAGTCCATCTTGAAATTTTTGACCTGTGTGCACATGGAGTGGTATTGTGGCACGGGCATTTTATTTCCTGAGTGCTAAAAGGCTACACTGCATGTATTTTATTTTTTCTGGTACTGAGATGTATTCTGTTCTTCTCTTCATTTAATCTAAATTTTGTTTAAATATTGTCTAAGGACTTTGGTTGAGGGTATTGGAAATAAAGCCAGGAAAATATAGGGCTAAGGTTCCAGAGGCTAACTTACCACTCCTGCATAATGGGCAAGTTCAAAATGAGCTTCATCTGTCTTCTTATCCAGCTTGGGCTTCTGGAGATAAACCGACTTTCCAAAATGGTTGGCAAAGAGTTTGGTCTTAAAAGTCACGTCTGGAGCCTTTGGAAACATACCTTCCTCTTCAAGGATGGAAAGGATGCCCATTTGCTATGGAGAGGCATATAAGCAGCAGATTAAAAAAAACACACTAGGAAACAGCACTTTCAGTACAGGGTCAGAATAAATTCTTTCCCAGGAACCTAAATAGGTGACAAAGGGAAGGATATTCACTGCATATAACTAGCCTACCATTCATTCAACAGATATTTGTTAAATATCTACTATTTAATACTGATACCAGTATCTGTATTAAATACAGCCGGTAGGTGATGCAGCCTGGAGCCATGTACACAAAGTGCCTGTCTCTTCAGATACGTGACACACAGTCGGGGGAAAAATAACAAAGTGCCTGTCCTCCAGGCACTTACATTCTAGTGGAGCAGACAGACAATAGGCAAGCAAACAAAGAAATAACTATAAAAAATAAATAACTTAGTTTCATATAAGTGCTCTGAAGAAATCATGCAAAGTAAAGAGACAGTGGCGGGGGGTGCTGGAGGGGAGCTATTTTAGACAGGGTAATCAGGTAAGATCCCTCTGACCTGAATGAGAGCAACCTGAGAAGATCAGTGTACAAGTATTCCGGGCAGAAAAATGAAGCGTGCAAAAGCACTGAGGAAGGAGCACCCTTAGCACACAGAGGCCAGTGTGGACACAGCAAAGCTAGCTGGACGGAGCACGTGGTAAGATGTCAGGGAGGTAAGCAGCAGCTGGACACCAAGGGCTGTATAGGCTGTGGTAAGATATGGAATTCATTTTAAGTATAATGAGAGATTACACTTGGAGATTTTCAACATGAAGTGATGTGATTTGATTTATGCCTGAAAGCTATCATTGCTTTAGAATGGGGTGGGCAAAGTAGAGCTCGTGGGCCCAATCCTGCCTGCAGTCTGTTTTGGAAAGCCAGTGAGCTAAGGAATGGTTTTACATTCTTAGAGGGTTGTAAAAACAAACAAGTATGTGACAGAAAACCTTATAACCTCCTTAAGCAAACTTTCTCTCTAAAGGATCCTACAGTCTCTGTCACACATTGGCCATCACCTTAGCCATTGTAGCACTGAAAGTAGCAGTTAACAACATGTAAACAAAATGAGTGTGGCAATGTTATGGTAAAACTTTATTTACAAAAACAGGCTGCAGGCTGCATTCAGTCCACACAGCCATAGTTTGCTGGTCTAGGCTAGTGATGGTGTTGGGGCTTGTGAGAAGCCATTAGAAACGTTCTTGGCCTGAGCAGCTAGGTAATAGATGCTGCCATAAACCGACATAAACATGCATATATTTACACACAGGGGAAAACAGGTTTTAGAGGCAGGGGAAGCCAAGGATTCTTACGTGTGCGTATGTATCTGTGTATTTATAGGTTCAATTATCTACTCCGCAAATACTTTTGAAGTGTTTCTATGATTTTTTATGAGCAAATCACTGTACCAGACACTTTGGGTTGTACCAGGATGAATCAGACATGGGTTCTGGTTCCAGAGTATGCAGCCAAGAAGATGTGCACATAATATATAGACTACAAAACAGAGGTACAGATACAATGCTGTGAGAATTCCAAGATAGAACAAACAAGGTAGAACGTGACCACTCGCCCCAACAAAACAGATTTCATGATTTTCTATCAACCCTTTGTACCTAACAACGACAGACCTCAGGTTTGGAAGAGATATTAAAGGTTTGGTCCAACCCACCTGATAAATCCTTGAATTCCCCTTATAATTTCCTTCTAAAAGGCTAGTTAGCTTACACTTGAATATTTCCATGAAGAAAGAAAACACCAACTCTGAGTCAAGGCTCTGGATGGGTGACAAAATTTGCTTGCCATTTAGAATCCTTATTCTAAACTCTTCTACTAGAGCCACACAAATGAATCTGATGCTTTTTCCATGTAGTGGCTCGTTAGATATTTAAAGATCATGCTTCCGAGCCACCTAAGTCTCTCTCTCCAATATATGCACTATAATTTCCTCTCTTTTGTATATTCTCATAGACCTATATTTTATAGAAAGTATATTTAACAACATTCCACCAATCACTTCTTTTTTTTTTAAGAGACAAGGTCTCATTCTGTCAGCGAGGCTGGAGTGCAGTAGCCCATTCATAGCTCACTATAACCTTGCATTCCTGAGCTCAAGCGATCCTCCTGCCTCAACCTCTCAAAGTGCTGGGATTACAGGCATGAGCCACTGCACCTGGCCCACCAAAAACTCTAACACTGCAGTATTCTGGGTACCTTCCTTCATCCCAAGCACCTAGGTGGGAAATAATACAGAGTGAGGATGTGAAGTATTCTAAGTGAGGACAAAGTATTCTAAGTGAAACCAATGTCTGTCTTGCTCCTGACAACACTGACTTTGTGAGTCCTTGGCAAAGAGAGAAATGAGGAGGAGGAGGAAAGGAAGAGGGGAACAGAGAAGGGAAGGGGGGCAGGGAATCTGATAAAGTAAACAGTTTCTCCACTGGCACAAGCTCTTGGAGGCATGGAATCCCATCTTGTACAGGGTTATTTTCCTCCCGTGCCAACAGCCAATCCTCAGTGAAAACAGGAATGAATCATTTAGAAACGTAAGCAACCCCTTGGATGGTGCCTTTTAGCAAGAGGGTTGTGGCAAAGCTCCAGGAGTGGCAGTTCCCACCTCAAGTAGAGCTATCTCTGACACACGAGGTCCTCATTTCCCTTGGTCTCCAATGACGCTAACTTCCACTTTGGGATGAATGGAAGTTTTATGTAAAGCAAATCATAGCTCAAAAGGTAACAATTAAACCACTGATGAAGGAAAAACACAGTTTCTTCAGGGTCTTCTCCATTTCCTGAGTGCTCAGGAGCTGTAAAGCTTCTAATATATATAGGACAGTCCAGCAAATTAATTTTGAAATAGGTCAGAAAAAAGAGTAATTATGTCCTTTCTCCTAGCATCAATTGTCCTATATTGCACAGTAGATACTTTGAGTCAGTTGCCCTGGCTCAAAACATTAGTGCTCTGACCACTCCCTCTTCAAATATTATCAATTCTACTTTCCTCTCTTTTATATCTGTCACTTTCTTACTACTTCCATTTCTGCTGTCCTGGGTCAGGGCCTCTTTATTTCTCACCTGGATGCCTTTCCTCCCACCCCCAATGTTATACATAAACCCACCAGCTTAAACACCAGCAGCTCTGAGCACTACTCCACTGCCCAGCTCAGAACCCTCTGTGGCTCCCTACCACATTAAAATAAGGCACAAATTAATTAAAATCCCTTCATGATTTGACCCTTTTTTTCCTTCTAGGCACCTCTTTCTATGTATTCTATCTCCAACTAGACCAACATGTCAGGACATGTCCTTTGCTTTCTTGTTCCTATGCCTTTGCTCTTACCTGTCCTCCCACCTTCTATCTATCTTCACCTGCTGAAATTATATCCATTCCCTAAGATTTAGCTGAAATTTTACCCCTCCTCAATGCCAGCCCTTTCTAGATTCCTACAGAGATAACTTCTGTTCTTCTGACCTCTTGGGCCTTTGTGCCTTTTATTGAATTTATACTGCACATAATGATTTTTAAATGCATTTTTACCTTTATTAGACTTACAAATCCTTTACTTGACTGCATACTTCCTAAAGGCAAGAGCTATTTATAACAAATGCTTACATTTTCTACGGCATTCGATGCAAAGTCTTACACACAGTAATGTGGTATGAAGCCTAAACTTACGGCCCAACATTATGTGTGTTGTGATATCTGAGAAAAATCAGGAGGGGCTCAAATTACCTAATTACAAGTTCCCCTCCCATTGTGCTTCCATGGGTTAAGCGCCCTAGCCAAACAGCCCTCCCTCTGACAGGGACCAGGCCCAGTGTCTGTTTATCCCTGAGTAATGGGCTTCAGTTCCCTGCCAGCCCATGAAATTATTCAAACAAGCCTACCACATCCTCCTGTGGGACCCTAGGGTCACCTCGCTCTACTGTCACTACAAAGCCTGCCTCCCACAGCTCCCGCTTGTTCACTCTATTCACAATGCAACCCCCTTGTGGCCCTGCATGACATGGGGTGTCTCCCCCGACGGGCTGGGAGCATAAGTGACTAACAAGATGCTGGTTTCATCTGTCCAGTGTTGGATGTCATATGTTCAGCCACCCCATAACCCTAGGGCAAGATTCCCTCAGTCAGCAATGGGGTGAAGAGGAAGTGACAAAAATAAGCAGTTGCTAAACAGATTTACTTGATTAACCACAAAAACAACAAAATAATAAAAGTTAATTTCAAGACAGGACACCTTTCCAATTATAGTAAAAGTTCCTTAATTGCCAGATGATGCCTTCTGGAGTCTGCATTCCTCATGATCCTTCGCATAGTAGGTGCCAAGGCGACTAAAGTGTAGGCCCTCGGCAAATTTCTGCTAAGTTAATTAATTGACAGGTGAACATTGAGACATACAGGTTTGAATGCTGGGAACTTGGCTGCTTTGCTGTGGTTACCAGACACAAAGTAAGAGTTGCCAACAAAAAAAGCATGAAGTTATGTGTTCAAACAAATATTGATGGGCATATAAGATATAACCAGATAGTAATATGATTCATTTTATACTAAAAACATAAGAATTAGCATATCCAAAGAGCTCCCATTGGGAGGCAAAAACACATATATAATTCCAAAATTCTGCCAGTATTTAAAAGAATGTTTAGGACTTTCTTTGGTATACCTGATACCATTGACTACTGACGTGAGGAAAATTCCTGTTGTCTGATGGTATATGATTGTCTAGAAATAACCAAAAGTTATTCAGTCCAAGTCAGGCACATAAAGCAAATAATGTGACCAAGCTAGGTAATACAATTTGGACTAAAAACTAGTAAGATAAGTTTGGAAGCAAATATTATCTTGAGCCTAGTAAAATTCTAAAACCTGATCATATTATGGATCCTGTAAGAAACTTTCCAAAAGAGCTGAATTATTGGAAGGAAAGTAGTCTTCCAATGTGACTATACTGAAAGAACAACAAGTTTTTAAATATATAATTTAGGATATGTTTGTTAAGAAATTGTAGAGATGATCTCTTTACCAGTGTCTTATGTATAATTGTAAATATGCAATCATATAATAATAGTTTAATATATAAATTATTGATGCTCAAGTGCTAAACAAACTAGAATATTTCAAGTAATGAAATAAGTGTGAGCTAATCCTATAATAGATTTGTTCGCAGCATATATATGGAAGGAGGTCACTGTGAGCTCGAAGACCAAATTAACAATTAAAGTTGGTGTTAAAATACATTTTTATTTCAGTTTGATATAAACTTTTTATAAACTTTAAAATTTAAAACCTTTATGTATGAAAATCTTTTTTCCTTATACACACACAGAGACGCATATTAAAAAACATTTTGTACATATTGATATATTTCAGTTCTTTCAAATTTTAAAAACTTCCCATGATTCATTCTATTTCAAGGAGTGAGTTTGATCACTAATATTTGCTACAAATTTTCTTCAGAAAGCCTGATTCACTATAATGGGTCTTTTCAAAATACAGAATCTTTTCAAGGAAGGTTTTGATATTCTTTATTTGCCTGACCTGAGTTCCTTTGAAATCCTTCAGAGAATAACAAGAGACTTATTTTTTTCTTTTTATCATCTGGTCAGTATTTTTTTTTCTCATTTTATCATATCAGTAGAAAATACAACAGGAAATTACATCCATGTTGCTAATGTGCTATTTGGAATAACTGGGACTGACATAAATGAGACAACAGGCTTCAGATCAACTAAAAATCAGTAACATTCACAGACATCAGGAACTTAATAATGTCTATGTCCCACCTTCCTGCCTGAAAACAGTATCTTGGTATCATCAAAGTGACCAGATATTACAGGTGACAATTGCCAGAAGCTATCTGTCCCTCCGAGGACCTCCAGTTCTTATGTTTCATTTCTAATCAGAAAACTACAGCTTTTATAATGCCAGAAAACATTTACCAGATCACAGTGGGTTTCTCTCTATCATTATTTTTAATCAGCTCAAAGTTGATTTTTTTAATCACCCTAGGAATGTTCTCGTCATAAAATAAATAAAATCAGTGTGATATCCACTCCTGTTAGGAATAATAGTTATTTTCAAGGAAGATTTAGTTTCATCTAAAGCGTAATAAATAAAATTGATAGGACATTGATTGATAAAATCTGAGGCCTGCAAACAACAGTGAGAGGTCAGTCACCCTAGCTCCTTTCTAACAGGATTGTTGAGAATCAAATGCAACAGCATAGCTACAGAGCTTTCAGAAAGTTAAAGGCTTCAGCCTGCCCAAGCCTGTCTTCAAGATTCACTGCAGGCGCTGGGGCTCACACCTGTAATCCTAGTACTCTGGGAGGCCGAAGTTGGTGGATCGCTCAAGGTCAGGAGTTCAAAACCAGCCTGACTGACCCAGTCTCTACCAAAAATAGAAAGAAATTAATTGGCCAACTAAAAATATATATACAAAAAATTAACCGGGCATGGTGGCGCATGCCTATAGTCCCAGCTGTTCGGGAGGCTGAGGCAATAGGATCGCTTGAGCCCAGGAGTTTGAGGTTGCTGTGAGCTAGGCTGACACCACGGCACTCACTCTAGCCTGGGCAACAAAGTGAGACTCTGTCTTCAAAAAAAAAGATTCACTGCAGTCCCCTACTACGACAAGACACAAGGGGCATGTAACTGCTAACATGCTGCCCTGCTTGCCCCCATGGACAAAGCCACAGAAAAGACCACACAGAATTCCCCCCAACAAACCCTGTTAATCTTTCCCAGAACACGTGGAAGGTTTTCAGAATACGGGAACATCACTGAATTTAGAAACCGTACACTGCAGCTAATTTACTAATAAGCCATGAAGTATTGTCATAAATTACTTAAACTAACTGGTACTTGTCCAATTAAATGAACAAACTACACCCTGCAAGGTAGTGGCCTTGAGGATTGATGGCAGTTGTTTGTTTGCATGCTAATTTGCCAAATTTCGTTAAGCTGCTCTGGGTCTACTCATTCACCTCATGTTAATCAGCCAGCCCCTACAGTGCTCATATTTTCAGCTCTGTGTTTTTCCAGTCAAGAGCATGACCATTTTTAATCTTGACAAGTTTCCTCACGCATTAACAGTGGAGGCCATGCATAAGCAGCAAATGTGTAGCAAAAGTCTGCGTTCGAGATGATGGAGCAGGGCAGCTGTCGGGAGAGTTGAGTTAGGATGCCACGGGTGCTGCACACAAAGACCATTAAGGCAAAATGTGCAGGGCTCTCCTCCCCCATTTCCATCTCCTGCCAGAGCCTGATTCCTGGCATGGATCAACATGGCAAGTAGGGACAAGTCTCCTTAAATGAAAATGAACAAGGCGAAAAACATAGATCACCTTCTCAACGAGATCGATGCAGGCTTGCAAATCCAGACCAAAGTCGATGGACACCCAGTCACTGCCTTCTTCCCCGTATTCCTCTTGCTCCGAAATAAACATGTGCCAATTGAAGAATTGTTGTAATTTTTCATTGGTAAAATTAATGCAAAGTTGCTCAAGGCTATTATGCTTCACAGATATAAATAGGCATGAAAAAGAGATAAAATTGAGGTTCGCTTGCAAGAATGTGCAGTAAAGAGAAAACCATAACACCATGATAGGATGGTAAATAGACCCAACAAGTAACAAATGCTCAATTCTTGCTTCCTTCAGCTATACCTACAAACTAAAGATTATACAATAAAGTAACACTTAATGTTATTACAATTCAAAATCCTAAAGGATTCCTTTGCCTCTATTCCCCTTTATATAAGGCTGAATTATGAAACTAAGAAATGCTTAATACTATGAATTAGAATAATTATTATTATTAATTACAGTTCTTTTCCAACCAAGGTAGCCTGAAGGTTTGCACAGAATCTCATCGTGCTTTGACTATATTTTCCCATGTGCAAATCACTACACTTCCTAATCTCTTGTAAACATGCACTGACTTTATTCTTACTAAATATACTCATGTTAAGGATTTCAAAACCAGTGATGTCATGAATGCCAATGAAGAACTGCATTGACAGCTTGGCATCCAGGGCCCTATTGATACGTGCCACCAGCCACTTAGACATCCTCTCATAGATTGACTTGGACAAGGCACCAACCTCATTGATTACCTAGAAATCACATTGAAAACACTCCTTCATCTGACAGCAGTGTTCATTTTAATCCCAGACATTCTCTATTAGCAACCACCTTCTAGTCAAGTCAGGATGTATTTATTGACCTTCTGTGGTTCCAGCATTCTGCTGAATACAATGAGAGAATAGGAAGAAAGAAGCAAGGAAAAGAGGGGAAAAGGAGGAAAGGAGAAGGGTAGGGGAAAGGAACAAGCTAGCCTGGTGCCTCCCTACCAAAAACTTAGGAGACATCATGTTCCTATTTCTAAAGGACTAAGTACCCTGGGGTGTGGTGTAGCGATGTGTTCTAAAGCTTTGCTATTTCTAAATGTGGGCCGAAGACCAGCAGCAGCAGCACCTGGGAGCTTGTTAAAGATGCAAACGCTCCAGCTCAGCCCCAGACCTGCTGAATCAGAATCTTACTCTAACACAATCCCCAGCTAATTCTTATTGACAAAGACTCTGTCCTTGACTAGACTTCAGTCAGGCTCCTTTGAGCCCTTGCCTAGCCCTTACCTGCCCTATCTTCAGCCTGTCTAGCCTAGTTGCAGTAAGAATTCTGTAAGTCACTTTAGTGAGAATCCCCCACCTTTGATACCTGATTAAGTTCCTAATTCCCCACCTTTGACATGTAAGTTCTTGGCCTGTCTTTAGCAAGAATCCCCTCAGCCTTGATGTCTTCTCTGAGTAATTTTTCATCCTCTGATCCTGTCCTTCTGCTCTTCAACTATAAATCCCTATTCATCCTTGTTGTATTCAGAGTTGAGCCCCAAGCCTTTCCCCTATCGCAATACCCCTATTGCAGTAGTCCTGAACAAAGTCTTCTTTACCATTTTAACAAGTGTCAGAATAATTTTTAACACTACGCACAATAAAGTTTTAAAAGTACTGGTATAGAAGATCAGGAATCTGTAATCCCTAGCCCGTGTTCTGCCACCGCTGTTGCTGCTAATAAATTGTATAACCTTTGGCAAGTGACCTAATCTCTCTTGGATGCAGGATCTTCATTTGAATAATGTTTTTGAAGGATCTTTCTGGCCCCATCTTCCAACCCTATATTAGTTTCCAGTGTTGCTGTCAACAACCTGGACTAAGAATGGCCATCTGGTGCATCATTCTGACTCAGATTCTCCTACTCTAAAACCGACGCTGCATTTCCCTTCCCTGGAGGGGCGTGGCAGAGGATCTAAAGTAACCTACTGGGGAGAGCTCCAACCTTTGTGCCTGGATGGTGCCATACAAATGTGGATCCTGCTTCCATAATGCAAACTCGCTGCTGTAGTAGCAGGTTTCTGACATACTCCAAGTAGGAGTGAATTTCAGCTGGACATTCTCCAAGCCTGGAAACAGAATGTGCTCCAACCACTTAACATTTAAAATAGGCCTATCACATCCATCCTTCTCATCCCAGGAGAGAGCACGCAGCAGGAGCCAGTTGGTGTCTGCTGGTGATTTAGCTATGAGTCACCCACTCTCTGATCAGTTATCTTGACTCATTTCCACAGTAATCCATAAGCCGGATGGCATCACGGTTTTTTATTATCAGCGTCAAGAGCACACACGTACAAATAAAGCATCAAGAAAGATTTTCATCCTCTGTAACACTGAGGAAATCGCTCCCTGTCTACAGCAGTCACTTGGAAACTTTAAAAAGAACATGACTAACTTGCTCACCCCTTTTAATTCCCTCAATACTTGATAAGTGCAGATGGGAGAGAAACCTCTTTGGTCAGGTGTGGGGAGTGTGAAGAAACACAGGAAGAAAGCCTGGAGATGCAGGCAGAGGGAGAGAAATAAGTGGTACAATGTTTGCTGAAGGAATTAATGAATCCAATGGACTCATATACTGGTCGCTAATTAATCATTTTCATCATTTCCTGTCCAATGAAGACGGAATAAGGCAGCTAAACCTATACTTTCACTTTTTAGGGGCTAATTAGACCCATTTCTTAGCTCTTTTAAAAATAACCTCATGGAAGCCTTTGATTACTTGGGGGCAATAGTACATGAAAGAAAATAACAGCAGAAAAACAACCGAACAACAAAAAAAGAAACAAATAGTCAAATGTTGAACCACATTGATCCCTGCCTTTCTCATCTGCAAAGTAACAGTAATAAAATATGCATATCTCGGGGCTGTGAGAGGTTCAGTGAGACAGAGGATGTAATAAACTTACATAGCACAAAGTTTGGCACTTAGTATCCAATAAATGCTAGTTCGCCCTTTCCCAGCCCCTCCTTATTTTTATCATTTCCTCATCCTCACCCCAGTACTTAGTTGTGTCACCTTGAGTGGTTAATCTTTCTAAGGGTCCACGTTGAGCGGTTAATCTTTCTAAGGGTCACTGTCTTTAGCTGTAAATTGAAATATTAATAAGATCTATTTTGTAGGCTCATTAGTAGATTGAATGAGATAATCCTTACAAGCATGTAGCACAGCACATTTAGGAAGTACTCAGTGGATATTATTATTGTTTTGTCACCATTATTAATTTTTTTTTTTAGACAGAGTCTCACTCTATTGCCTGGGCTAAAGTGAGTACCATTGCATCAGCCTAGCTCACAGCAACCTCAGTCTCCTGGGCTCAAGCAATCCTACTGCCTCAGCCTCTGGAGTAGCTGGCCTAAGGCATGTGCCACCATGCTTGGCTAATTTTTTGTATATATATATTTTAGTCAGTCAATTAATTTCTTTCTATTTTTAGTAGAGATGGAGTCTCGCTCAGGCTGGTTTCTAACTCCTGACCTTGAGCAATCTGCCCACCTCGGCCTCCCAGAGTGCTAGAATTACAAGCGTGAGAAATGACTTATTTTTAATAGACATAGTTAGAGCTGTATTTTATGGAATCATAAAATACTAGACCTTAAGAATGTTAGTTCTTGATAATCATGTATGGAGTTTCACAACTTGGGATGATACCCTCCCCCAAAGGAGGAGCACATTTAGAAATGCGGATGGCATTTTTTTGGTTGTCATAATGAATAAGAATGCTACTGGCAATTAGTACCTGGGGGCCAGAAATGCCAAACATCTACAGAGTGCAGGACATTCCCAACCATGAGGAGTTGTCCCATCTTAGAAGCCAATCACCTCTCTATTTAAAAACAGAAAGTTGTTAAACCATTTCACTGAGGGCTCAGAAAGATGAAGATAATTGACCAAGGTATCAGAGTTAAGTCAGCATTAGAGCTAGAACTAAATTTTGTATAAAGTGTTAGCACTGCAAGAATTTTTCCTATCTTTTGCAATTGTCATCAACAGAGCATACACATCTCTATTCTTAGCAGTGGCAATTGTCTCTATAAAGTCAGTAAAATTCCTAAGAAAAGAAAAGCTTTACAGTGTGCTTTCTTACTCTGTCTCCAGGAGAGAGCAAGAGGGAGAATTCGGGTTTTTTTTTTTTATGTTGAATAATAATATATTAGCTTGCTTCACTGGTTCTATTATAGTAAAGGCTAGAGTGGTAACTCAGTCCCTTAGAACATAATATTAAAAAGGCAAAGGTTCGATTTTAGTTCTTTTATGGACTTATTTTTATTTTTTGCTTTTATTATAATTTTTAATAATTAAAAATTAGTATGCACATAATAATCACACATATTTATGGGGTATAACGTGATACTTCAATACATGTATACAATATGTAATGATCAAATCAGGGTAATTAGCATGTTCATTACTGCAAACATTTATCATTTCTTTGTGTTGGGAACATTCAAAATCTATTATTCTAGTTACTTGGGATCAGTAGTTTTATACAGAAAAAGACCCTGTTCTATAATCACAGTATGTCATATGTGCATGTTGTGGTGAATGTCTAAGAAAGCATGAAATTGCCAAACAACTCTAACCCTACTGCCAAGAAATAGCTCAATTACTTGTCCTGCTGATCATGATTCAAGCTCAGCTCAATTTAGTCTATTTTAACATTTGTGGCGCACCCACTGCTTGCAGGGCACTGTGCTAGACACAGGGAATACTAAGATGAATTAGACACAGCCCATGCCTTCCAGGAGGTTAGGCTACCAAGGAAGACAAAAATGTAAGCAGATTATTTTAATATAGTATATTTAGTATTATAGTAGAAGTAGAATTATTGGTTTATAGAGTAAGCTAAAGTAAAAATTCATTTTGATTTGTCATGTAAGTGATTTAAATAACATAGACACATCAGATAACTTAATATACCAGGGAACAGAGTTATTTGCAGTCAAAATGACTGTAAATAATGCAGACAAATTTATATATTTGTCTCTTTTTCAGATTAAGGATGTATGTAGAATAAAACATCTGAATACTAGCTACATGTTTGTTGGAATGCTATTTTTATTCCCTTACCCTCAGTTTCCACAACTGGAAAAACAAAAATTCTGTATTCTTGTCCTACTTACCTCTGAGTATTGTTGTAAGAATGGAAGGAGATGATACCTGTGAGTGCTTTATACATATTATATGTGACGGAGACAAGACTATCTCTTCACCACACCTTTTCCTCTTTCCTGAAATGTACATTTCTCATCACCCTGTAGCTAAGGGGATAATTTAACTAATTCTCACCAATGGAATATTAGTGAAAGTGATATCCCTTCTAGACTTAAACAGTTAAAAGTGGGTATATTCTCTCCAAAATTTATCTTTTCCCCTTGTGCAGTAGCTTTGTCTCAGATGGTACTACAAAATGGAAGAAGGCTGTACACTCTGTATTGAACTTGATGTAAGAAATAAATATTTTGCTGTCACTGAGACTTTAGCGTGTATGCATTACTGCAGCCCAGCCTACCTCACACTGACTAATACACATTACAGATGAAAGGTACTAGCATACTTGGATGGTCTCATTACCCAGCAGCCCTGATGACAATTACTACATTAAGGCAAAGCCTCAAGATCAGCAGTCCTCAGAAAATTTGTTATTCTATCATGATAACATATACTGGATGCTAAATAAAACCTACATGACCTTCCATCTATCATTTCTGTTCTCGTACCCCTCTCCCGTTGAATATTAATTTCAGCATATGTTCTGAAACCTTTTCTCAACTAAGGCATTGCCATGTGTCTGTTACACTAAAGAAGTCAATATGCCAAGTAGGTGAGGGATGCCAATTTACCAATTTTATTCATGTCAGGAACCAACAGCGTTGAAAATTTTTTAGCTGGACAACAAAGATGTTGATCATAACAGGTGAAGGATATGACTGCATCTGTAAAGAGACTTGTTTCCTAATGGAAAACTGTCAAAATGTATATTTCAGGCTAGACATCCTCTTAACACAAAAGCATTTACTGTGGTGTGCATCATAAGTAAAGTCATCTGGAATACTCATCATGGTAGCTCTTTTTTGCTTTTTTTATAAATGCTCTTATTACAGACATTCTCAGTAGTTGAAAAACATGCAATATGTATACAATTATTACAAGATCATAATATGATAATGCTCTTATAATATCATCTTACCTGTTCTAAATTTTGACCTCTGGTAACATATTCATTACCAACTTTGATTCTAGGATGGAACAAGCCCTTCGCCAACTCAGAGGAGTTAATGCCCATCAGGAAAGCAGCTTTGTCAGCACCTGGTTATAAGAAAGGAATACAAGAAGAAGGCAGGGAGGGAAAGAGAGAAGGAGGAAGAAAAACACTGCTAAAATTCATTTCTTTATAATTAAACAAACTACCCAGTGGACAGAAAGATGATATGTTTAGATCAATGCAGCAAGCTGAATTACAGTTTTGAAATAAATGCCTGAATCCTAAATGTTTGAAGGAATCTATTTCTTAGACATGCAAATCAAAATCACATTGAAATGCCACTTCACACCTACTAAAATGGCTGTAATCCAAAAGTTGGACAATAACAAATGTTGGCCAGAATGTAGAGAAACTGGAACCCTCATGCATTGCTGGAGGAGATGCAAAATTGTGCAGCCACTATGGAAAACAGTTCAGCAGTTAACTCAGAAGTTCAATGCAGAGTGACTATAGGACCCAGCAATTCCACTTTTAGATATATACCCAAAAGAAATGAAAACATATGTTCACACAAAAAATTGTACACAAATGTTTCTAGAAGCATTATTCATAACTGTCAAAAAGTGGGGAAAAATGTCCATCAACTGATGAATGGGCAAAATGTGGTATATTCATTCAATGGGATATTGCTCAGCCATTTTTTTAAATGAAATATTGAGATGGGTGCAGTGTACACTGTCTGGGGAACAGGCATGCTTGTAGCTCTGACTCAGGCAATGCAAAGGCAATACCCCTGTAATATTCTGAAACTTTTAAAAAAAATGAAGTATTGATATGTGTTTCAACATGGCCAAAACTTGAAAACATTATGCTAAGTGAAAGAAATCAGACACAAAAGGCCACACATTGTAGGATTCCATTTATATGAACTTTCCAGAATAGGCAAATGTATAGCTACAGAAAGTAGATTTGTGTTTGTCAGGAACTGGGTAGGAGAGGGAATGGGAAATAACCACTGTGGGCTATAGAGTTCTTTTTGGGGGTAATTAAATATTCTGGATTTAGATAGTGGTGATGGTTGTACAACCATGAGAATATATTAAAAGCCACTGAACTATACACTTTAAACGGGTGAGTGTTATGATATGTGAATTATATATCAATTTTTTTAAAGTATTGATATCTTGATACTGGCCCTCTTCTAAAAAGAACTATTTATCTGTCTGAAGGACATGGAAAATCCCATTTTTACTATTTGCCTGTTTTCCCCTTCTATGTATATACTTGCAGAGTCTCTCAATGAAACAGGGATTTGGGTCCTGTATTTTGATAATTCAAGATAACCACCAATAAGCAGAAGCCAGGACGCTTGCCCAGTTACCAAAAGCCCTCCCTCTCCTCAGGAAGTTTCTGTTTACTCCATAGTGCCCTCTGGTGTCCAACAAGAACCCTTACACCTTGCAAAATTGTAGTTTTTATAAACCCAAACTTCCATTTTCTAAGGAAAGAAGCAGAGAGGATTAAGTGCTATTAGAAGGAAGAGTAAATAGGCATGTATCACATCGGGTGTTGAAAAATGGCAACAGCACAAAAGAATGCCACAGGCAAACGTTAAGCATATTTCAAATTGTAGATTATTTCAGTTACCAAACAAAATGAATATTCCACTCATCTGAAACCTTTCTGCTATGCCTTCCATTTTAAATGAATCCTGAGATATGCTAGTATTTCTGACATAGTCATTCTGTAGAATAATGTCTTATCACAGAAAGTAATGCAATCTTTCTTCACTAAAAAAAAAAAGTAAAAAAATTTCCTGAGCAAGAACCACAAAAAGGGAATAAAATAAAAACAAAACATAATTAGAGAGCTATATGTATTAGCAATATCAATTTCCTTTTCGTAGCCTTTAACATTTTCAGAGGTTTAAAAAGCTTGAAATGTTCAATTTGCTTATTAACTAAAATCAGTATAAATTATACACACATTCCTACAAGCTATATACCTACTTCATGTTAGTTTATTTGCAGTGACAATGGCCTGGGCACTTGGTTGTTATGAAACCTTTCAAAATGCAAAGCCTGTTTGGGAAAATAATTGGAAATTCAAAGGTAGGGCAGATATGCCCATTTTATACTGAGATATTCCTGCTAAAAGTGCCATGTTTGGAGACAAAAGGCTGATATTTCAAGTTGAGTGTTAGTTGGGTCAGAATCACAGACTTTTTGAAATGGAAGAGATTTTAGAGAGCATCTAATTTCAATGTGAAAATATTTAAAAGAAAGGGAGAAATGCAACCTGCCTGTCAATCTGAGTGGAACCATACAGTGACCAACAGTGTGAAAAACAAACAACTCACAGTGTCTGTCAGGTTTAAAACAAAAAAGACAAGAGTTTTTGGTTTGAAAGCTTTGGAAACATTTAGAGGGATGATACAGGTAATAATAGTCTCAAAGAATAGTTTCCCACACTGAGAGCCTTCAGACATCCTTTTTCCCAGTATTAAGGACAATCCTTTGAGCCTATTTTTATCCATGAACTAAAGAAACCCAAATTCTCTCTACAGTATCCCACCTTAAACTTTAACAGAAATAACATCCAATGTTACAGAATTTCTCACCCACTCCAGGGATAGTTGAGTATCTATAGACAGAACTGATATGCTCTGGATTGATCCCACTGTATTGACATTATACATCACACATTTCTGGTTTTTTGTTTATTTGTCTTTTGGGCAGAAAACAATAGTAGTCATCATGCTTCAAAAAATAATTTCCTTTGCACTAAACATTTTGAGTTTTACAACCAAGATGAAAACAATGTAAATCTATGAATAAATGCCCATCTGAAATTCAAGAACTACTATTGTAAACATAGCAATGTCTATAAACACATTTTAATCATGTTCCCAAAGAGGTTATATAAAATTCCCAATAATAAGCATCAATTCCTTCAGGACCTTGTGAATAAATCCATGGATTTTAATTAGGCTACATGGTCTTACCCAGGAGAGGTAAGAGCAGCTAGAGCAGTGGTCTGGGCCTCTTTGGTTTTACCATGTTACCCAGGTGATTTTAATACATGTGAAAGTTTGACAACAAAGTCCTTATTACAGTGATCCTCAACCTTGACTGCACATGCAGGTCACCTGGCAAGTTATAAAAACAAATACTGATGCCTGCATCTCACCCCTGGAAATCTGTTTTCTTTGGTTTGGGTGAGCTTCAGAAATCTAAAAGTTCCCCAAGTGATTCAGGTGGGCAGCCAAGTTTGTGAAGTACCATCTAGACAATGGTAGCCAGGTTTGATAAGTATATTTTGAAGTCAAGAACAAAATATGGCTTCACCTGGGAAGGTAGGGAGGTAGAGAAATTCAAAAGGCAATCTCTTCCAACTTCACAGTCCTATCCTAGTTCAGTCCCATCTATAAATAATCAGTTATAAAAGAAAAGAACAAAATCCAGTGTTGTCAATCTATAAGGATTATGATATGACATTAAGTCTTTGGTGGAAGGTTACAATACAATTCCTAAGCTGTTCACATTTCATTAATTTATTGAACAAAGTTTACTGAGCACTTGCTATGTGCAAGACCAGATGCTAGATGCTGTTGTAAGAAGGTAGCTAAACCAGACAAAAATCTTTGTCATCAAGAGATTATAGTCCATGAGGGTAAATAAAACACAAGCAAAAATAGCATTTCAATAAAACCACTGCACAGGAGACACAGAGATCAAGTATCTTGAAAGTGTGAAACAGAGAGAAAACCCTTCTGGACTGCATGAGCAGGGAAGATTTCAAAAAACAAGGAACATTTGGTCTGAGCCTTGAAAGATGAGAAGGATTTTGACAGGCAAATGTGGGAGAACAAGAACTTCTGAGGTTAAAACCCAGATGGATGGGACTGTGAAGTCAGGCAGTGAATGAGTGATAAACTGGGAAAAAATGGGTGATTTCTGCTCACAGAAGACATCTGATGCCACTATAGTATTAGTTAAGTAATGCGGAAATGCCAAAGGGACTTTAAGCAGAGAAACATTGTAATTAGAGTCAGAATGATGAATTTTGGAAATGTGCAAGACAGACCAGAGCGGCAAGCGGTTAAAAGTACAGACAGAGTGAACTCATTGCAGGATGCCAAAGTGTGAGATGCTGAATCTTTAAACTGGTGATGGGAGCGGGAAAGAGAGAGACAGGGAAATATCAGTAGGTTTCCAGTCTGAGAAGTAGAGAGGAGTATCATGAGAATGAATAGAGAAGCCAATAGGAAGACATCACCTGGGGGAGAAGATGGTGCACCGGGTTTTAGCTAAGCAGAATTTAGGATCCTGGTGCACGTACATTAGAGACTTAGAAATGTGGGGTTGGAACTCAAGCAAGAGGGAAAGGCTGGGACGTCACCTTAGGTTTGGGTCCCCCTCCGCTTTCCAGCCTTTTCTCCACCTGTCCAGCTCCTTCCATTTCTTCCTAACTAGAGAAAAGTTACCAAAGCTTAACATATTAAGAACACTTCGAAATCAAGAAATATCCAGCACCTTAATTTTTAAGATGAGCTAAAGATAGAAGCATCTTCAAAAACTCAAGAAAGAAATAATGCAAATAGGTAATAACATTCAAAAAGTTAATATGTAAACATAATAGAAAATCTGGCTAATTGACAACAGAAAAATAACTGCCAATATTGGTGAGGAGGGTGAGACCATACTCATCAGAGCCGATGGGAATTTGAATGGTAAATCATGGAGCAATTTGAGAAATAAATTTACTTCTGGAACTTTATCCTAAGAAAATAATATATGTAAAATCTTTGAATTTATAATGGTATTCACCAAAACCTTGTTCATAATAGCAAAAATCTAGAAATAAATTAAATACCTAAAAAGATATTTAAATTAATTATGAAAGCTATGTCCTGTGGCATTAGCAGTGGTTGTCTCTGAGTAGAATTCATTTAACAAATAACTATCCACTGCCATGCACCAGGCACATTTTAAAACCTGGAAATATAGCAGTGAACACACCAAATCCCTGTTCTTATGGAATTTACGTCTGGCAGAGATTAGAAGGGATTGGGTAGGAAAATCAATAATAAATAGCATATGAGTGACATGAAGAAAGATATTCAGGGTAAGAGGATAGAGGTGGGGTGGTTAGAGAAAATGAGCATGGAAAATGAGTATGGAAAGAGAAGAGAACAGGTTCAAGGGTTGAGCCCTGCAGCCCTATAGCAGTTAGAAGTAAGGAAGATGAGGACACTGTAGCAAGCCAACAGGGAGACTGGATGAGACTATATATTTTACTCATTCATCTGTGTTTTCTCATTTATTAAAAAGTATATTTTGCTTTTGTAATAAAAACAATTCTTCAAAAAACTTTATTTCAAAATGTTGAAAAAAACCAAGAAAACAATGAAACAACAAAATAAGATGCTATAAAAGCAAACATTAATATGCTAATATATAGGATGTTTACACGAGCTTCACATCCCATTCCCTTACTTCAATCACATCTGTGCTAAAGTGTCGTCTTCTCTGAGGGGCTTCCTGCCCACCCTGTCTATTACAACCCCTGTCTCCTGCTACTCTTTATTCTTTTACTCTGCTTTATTTCCTTTTTATTATGACTCGATACATATTTGTTTATGTATTTTTTGTCTGTCTCCCACACTGGACAAGACAGGGATGATATCTTGTTCACAGATGTATCCCCAGCACCACGAATAGTCCTTGGCACAGACTGGCCTCAAAAATTATTTGTTGAACAACAAAAAAACAAACAACCCAATTAAAAAATGGGCAAAGGACTTGAATAGATATTTCTCAAAGGAAGATATACAAATAGCCAATAAGCACATGAAAAGATGTTCAACATCCCTAATCATTAGGGAAATGCAAATCAAAACTACAGTGAGATATCACTTTATACCCATTAAAATGGCTATTATAAAAAACAAAAAAAATAAAATAACAAGTGTTGGCATGGATGTAAAGAGATTGGAACCCTTGTGCATTGCTGGTGGGAATGTAAAATATTGCAGCCGCTGTGGAAAACAGTATGGTGGTGCCTTAATACAACAGAATTACCATTTAGTCCAGCAATTCCACTTCTGGGAATTGAAAAGAATTGAAAGCAGGGACTCAAACAGATATTTCTATACCAACATTCACAGCAGCATTATTTACAAAAGAAAAAAAGGGAAGCAATCCAAGTGTCCATCAACTGATGAATGGATAAACATGGTATGTACACACAATGGAATATTATTCAGCCTTAGAAAGGAATGAAATTCTGACAGATGCTACAACATGGATGAACCTTGAAGACATTATGCTAAGTGAAAGAAGTCAGAACTGGAAGGTCAAACATTCTATGATGACACTTAGAACAGGCATTGAGAGTAGTAAAATTCATAGAGTTAAGAAGTAGAGAAGTGATTGCCAGGGACTAGGGGGAGGAGGTAATATGGAATTTTTATTTAATGGGTACAGAGTTTCAGTTTGAAACTAAAAGATGATGAAAAGTTTGAAACTAGGGACGATGAAAAAGCTCTAGAGATGGATACTGGTGATGTTTACACAACAATGTGAATGTATGCAATGCAATGCAACTGAACTATGCACTTAAAAATGGCTGAAATGGTAAATTTTATGTTATGCATATTTTACCAAAATTTTAAAAAATTATTTGTTGAAAGATCTGAATAAATGGATATTCTCTTTTTGTTGGAGTTGCAAAGAATTTTGATGGTAATAATTGTACTATGCTTCCTTCCTTTCATAACTGTGGTTTTCTATTTTAATGATCATTCTAGACAGATCATCCATAGTAAGATGCCTCAAGTCTTTTTGGTGAGCAGGCAAGACTGTAGATTTTTAAAATGTGAATATAAAACAACGGGAAATGAAAGCCTGTGGTCTTACCCCTATGCAGTTTGTTGCCTCATTGGAATTCCAGGGGCCTGCTTTCATACCTCTGTTATGTCATTTAATACATTTTATGGTAATTTGCTCCTTTCTCTGATTCTCTCAATAGTCTATGTGCTAAGGGCAGACTATGTCTTAGTCAATCCTGTTTCACTCAAGTTTAGCAAATTCACTGGATCATCAATAATTAATTGAGGAATGCTTCTTACTCTGTGGTAGGAGGATTCTACATCAGAACGGTGGTTGGGAGAATAATTTTGAGGAACAGCAATCAAGGGAGATGGTATTGATTAATTTCAGTATTTTCCAAAAACCAAGAGGTGAGGTCAACTGCAATCAAAAGGGGAACAGGCCTGAGGTCAGGGATTTGAAGAGAAGTATGTGCCATGTCTTCAAAGTAATTCTTACTTTCTGTGCCATCTGCTTCCAGTTGCTCTTCTCCAGGTTTCTGTTTAAATTTCATGTTTCCAAAGTGCATGATGGCTCCAGTGAGTTTATAGCATCCATACTTCTCATCAGGAAGAAAGCCCAAGATGTCCAAGGGTTGCTGTAAAAAGAGAAACAGATGGCCGCTGTGTCTTCATTTGCCTAATGGCTGCAGTAACCACCTCATACACAACACCCCCTCCCCAGCCCCCTGCTGCCGGCCACACCTCAGGCTATGGCTACAGGGAATGAGACCGACAGCTCTATTCAAAACAATGCAAATCGGCCCTGTTGGCATTTGGTCACCCACAGTTGGCTCATCCCTTTAAAAGAGAATTAGGAAGGCAAAAGACTCAGCTTGTTTCATTTCCAGTAGTTTTAGAACTTTGCTTCAATGCCCTGTCCTTCTCTTCTCCCTTCCAGCAACAGATCACTAACTAGCTATGTGAGGTCAGTTATTTTGCCTTTCGTGGTTATGACAGAAAGCACCATATCTGCTGGGTTGCTTATTTCTGTGATCCCTTATGTTCTCCTGACTTTATTCCAGAGCTGACACATTTCAAAGACTGGCAAAAATAAGTGTTAAGAAAAGCCATGACACCATAGAATTGCATCCACTGTACACAGTAAGATGTGCATTCTCATACACTCCACAAGGGCGAAAATTGGTACAATCTTCCTGGTGGTTAATTTAGAACATATACCAAGATACTATAACAAATTCATAATCCTTACCTAGTATTTTTATTTCTAGAAATATAGCATAAGGTGAATTTAATATACAGAAAAAGTGTTTACCTACAAAAATATTCACCATAGTTGGGAAGAGGGGGACAAAAAAACTTGAGTCTCACACTAGGAGAATAGCTCAATAAACAATAGGACAAATGTCTGATAAAATCTTAAGTATCCACTTAAATGTTTATGAAGAGTCTATAATGACACTTTAAATGCTTGTAAGATTAAATTGAAAGAATAAACTCTACATACCAAAAAGTATATACAGTATTATTATAATGTTTTGTGAAGAAACAAAACAAAACCAAAAAAAAAAAAACCTCACTAAAATGACAATATAAAAGTAACCCCAAATAGATAAAAACAGAACAGAGACTGTAAAGATAGTCATCAAATAGGGTACAGTGTGTGTTGCTTCAGGGATGTATGGGCCAAAGGCCCTGACTTCACCACAATGCAATATATCAGTGTAAAAAAATTCCATTTGTACCCCCATGAATATACACAAACAAAAAATAATGAGAAAAAGATATATACACTAAATTTTTAAAAGTTTGCCATTGAGTTGAATTTGTGTTTCCATATGTTCGAAAGTTACTATACTAACAAAGTACACTTTTACAATAAATTAGTGAACTTTGGACAGAAGCAGCCCTCCACCCGCAGGGGAAGCAAGGCCACTTCTCCAGGTCCTTTGAGAACAATGGAGCTGGAAGATGCTTTCTTCCATTTCTCATTGTCATTGCCAGACTTAACTTTGACAACTGACAAGTCTTACTTCTGTGGCCAGCAATTCTTCAGCATCATCCAGGCTCTCTACAGTGACTACCCCACAGGAGCAAAAGTGAAAATCAGAGGGATTTGCAGATACCAGGAGCATGTCTACAGTGGGAAAACCGGAAAACCATCCATAAACAGCTTAAAGAAATCCTCAAGGCATTAGAAAGTAATTGACCAATATTCACAGTTTACCCTTACAGTTTATAGCATACTTGTAAACAAGCTAAAATCAAATCCATATTCTAGACCAAAACCTCTGCAATCAATTTTTGCCCTCTATTAACTTGTCAGTCATGCGTCAATGCCTCCCAAGAGAAGATCAGGCTGGCCAAATCCAAAAGCAGATTCAATTGCAGCAGCTTGAATTGGTGTGAAAAAAAAAAAAAACAGATAATGTGTGTTGGCAAAACTTTGAAAACAGAAATTTGGCCTAGATTTATGGCTGAGGGCCAGAGGACAAAAGTATTTTGTAAACTTATCAGTAGAATAGAAGTGAGCTTCAGAGGCTAGGAAGTAGCCAGGCCTCAGGTCACAACCCAGGGAACATTAGCAGGGTAACCTGTCACTTCAAGTCCTCGCTATTAGGAGGCTGATCTGTCTTTCAAGGGATCCATAAATCAGCTCCATGTTCAACTGCGCCCTGATACGTCTGAGACTCCTGACATGATTCACTTAGTCAGGAAACATAAAGTAGGCCCCAGCAGAGGCGGGCTGTCAGCAGCACATCATCAACTGACTTGGCAGAATCACATTAACCTCTCACTGCCCAACACTTGCTCCCAAGGAGGTCTTTTTTTTTGAGCTGGTCTTATTTTTCTGTTTATTGCTCAATGAAGTGAAAATCTGTTACCCTGAACCCCAAATCTCAGAAACAAAGAAATTAGGCTATATGAATGTTCATAGCAGCTTCATTTGGAAACAAGCCAAATAGCCATCAGGCGCTGAATGGGTTAACAAACTGTTGTATATCCAGACAGTGGATTGTTATTCAGCAAACAAAGGAATGAGCTGGGAATACACTGCTGCCTACATGGCAAAATCTCAAAATAATTATGCCAGGTGAACTAAGCCAGATAAAAAGAATATATACTGTATGATTCTGTCTTATAAAATTCTAGAAAATGAAATCTAATCTACAGTGACAGAATGTATATTAGTGGTTCCCCAGGGATGGGCTTGGGAGGGGAGGCTTCCAATGAGTGAGAAGGGGGAGAGGGAGGATTATAAAAGATCTTGAGGACACTTTTGAATGGATACATGTATTATCTTGATTGTAGTGATGGTTTCACACATATGAGCATGTTAACACTTACCAATTGTATACTTCAAACACATGAAGTTCATTTTAGGCCAATAATACTTCAATATTTTCTTATAAAACTTAAAAAATAAAAAGAAATTGGGCTAGCCCAAATCAAGCAGAAGGAAAATATAATATGTTTATTTTTAATACAAGTATCCATAAAATTTTAAAAGCATTTATTGGCTTTTTAAATGATTCTTACTTATCTTTCTAATTTACAAATAAAAATAATATGGTGTACAATATGATGTTTACATATATGTATTCATCATTGTAGAAAGGCTCAATTCAGCTAATTAACATATCCATTACCTCACATACTTTTTTGTGGTGACAATATTTAAAATCTACTCTCTTAGCAATATCAAGTATAGAATGCATTGTTATTAACTATAATTACCATGTTGTACAATAGATCTTCTGAATTTATTCAACTCTTTTAGATTTCACATTTGAGTGAAAGCACATGATATTTGTCTTTTTGTGCCTGGCTTATTTCACTTAGCACGATGTCCTCCAGGTTCATTCATGTTGTTACAAATGACAGGATTTTCTTGTTTTCAAGCCTGAGTAATATTCCCTTGTGTGTATATACCACATTTTCTTTATCCATTCATCCTTGATAGACACTTTGGTTGTTTCCATATCTTGGCAATTATGAATAATGCTGTAATAAACATGAAAGATGTCTCTTTGAGATACTAACTTCATTTCCTTTGGATATATTCCCAGTAGTGAGAGTACTAGATCATATGGTAGTTCTATTTTTAATTTTTTGAGGAACCTCCAAATTACTTTCTATAATGGCTATACTAATTTATATTCCCACCAGCAGTGTGCAAGGGTTCTCTTTTCTCCACATCCTTGCCAACACTTGTTATCTCTTGCCTTTCTGTTAACAGCAATTCTAACAGAGTATGAGGTGATATTTCATTGAAGTTTTGGTTTACATTTCCCTGATGATTATTGATGTTAAGCATTTTCTCATAGAGTTGTTGGTCATTTGTATATATTTTTTGGAAATTTCTATCAAGTCCTTTACCCATTTTTTAATCAGGTTATTTGTTTTCTTGCTATTGAGTTGTTTGAGTTCCTTATATATTTTGTATATTAACCCCTTATTAGATATACAGCTTGTAAATATTCTCTCCCAGTCATTCCATAGGTTGTCTCTTCACTATGCATGATTGTCACATATTTTGGTACAAAGCAAAATATCAAAGATCTTAAGAGGCAAGGACTTCTTGGTCACTGACCACTTTTCCTTAGGTTTATACACTAGTAGAATAGCAAGAATGGGTACAATAAATAGAAAGGGAAAAAGTCAAAGAGGAGGAAAATGGAAGATATATGTAGAACCAAGCTATACCCATGGCAGTAAGAACTAAGGATTTTGAAGGAGCTCTGTCCAAGGGGACTGAGGAAATAGGTCTTAGCCATGCCTGGAACAAAAGTCAGACTTAAATGAAGGCAAAGGAGATAAGGGTTGTTCATGGACATGTAGAGCCTAGATAGGGCCTGACTTTGGGGTAACATGGCATCTCACTTCCCCGGGTCCTTCAGTGGGTGACCAGCCTCTCCGCTGTGATTTTTTTTCCTTTGTAGTACAGACAAATGCTTATATTTCAGGAAATTGGGATATAATCTTCATATTGCTAAAATGTACCCTCTTGTGTCAATCTTCAGTACACTCTGAAGCTTGTCTTTGGCAAACATGGATGGAAAGAGTTCTAGATCATCTTTTTAAATGTCTTCAAAAAGACAATGGGTAGAAAAACAAGTGGACTAACAATACTCAATTTGGACCACCAGATGTCAGTCTTTGCACAGTGATCTATTTCAGTAGCCCCCGAACACTCAAGATAAATTTCAGGTTAAGCATAAATTTTCCACAGCAGCCCAAACACTTCAGCTGGTTGTATTAGTAGAGATGTTCCAAAAAAATATTATGGTCGCTACTGGTACCCACAATAAGACCTTATGTGTCAGATGCCCTGAAAAGTATAAAAATGGATGACAAGAATGTTATATTTGACAGTGCTAAAACATTCCTGTTTCAGGAATAGGCGAGGGGCGGGTGGGGAGGAGAATAGCTGTACTTCCATAGCACCAATTAATCTAAGACAAAAATAATTGTCTAGTTTGCAGAGCTTTCCCCAAGCTACTACTTTGAAGATCAAGCAGTCAAAATATCACCAGATTTATACCACATTTCATCTAACATGATGGACTGGGGGAATTGTTCCCATCAATTTGCTATCCTGGATCTCCACCCTCTTCTCACATCCACTCCTGTGGGAATACTGTTGTCCTCGGTGGCTTACTTCAAATGCAATACCTTTTAAATCTAATCAGCTTGCCATTCTCCCTTTCCAATGAGTTCCCATAGTACTTGAAATTTAAACTCTCTCTGCCAGGGCCTGCAAGATGCTGCATGGTCTGGCCCCTGGTTACCTCCCCCCACATTACCCTCCCCACTCTGCCACCCACAGTGGCCATTTTGTTATTCCAAAAACAAACTAAATACATTCCTGCTTCAGGGCCTTTGCACTCACTGTTCCCTCTTCCTGGAATTGTATTCCTAGAAATCTTTGTCTACTTATTCCCTCCCTCATTCAGATATCTGCAAAAATACTGCCTTCTCAGAGACAAATTACCTGACCATTTTATCTAAAATACAACTACCCACACCCTACCAAACCCCAATTCTCTCCATCCCCTCACCTTACTTTATTTTTCTTTATAGAGATGCCATATCACCTACAAGGAAAGGATATTATGTATTCTTTGTTTCCTTGTTTGCTGCCTGTCTTCCTTACTAGAAGGTAAGCCCATGAGCGCAGTTTGTCTTGTTTACCACTCTGTCCCCCATGATTAAAAAGCAGTGCCAGGTACATACAAAGCAGTGCCACAAGAAATATTTATTGAATGAACACATGAAATTTATTCTCCTACCCCACTTTTCTATTTCTGTTTATGGTACAACCAATATCCTAGTCTAATCACAAAACTGGGGGATATTTTTGGCTCATCACTCTCTCTCATTGCTACATTCAGTCACTGCTAAGATCTGTCCATTCTCCCATGAATCTACCCTCTCCCCCCCGCCCCAAGTCCCACAGACGCCATCTTAGATAACTGTCTTGTCATCTCCTATGGGGACGATTGCAATCTCTTCCATCTAATACCTCTGCCTCCAGGCCATCCTGCCTGTCATACCAGCATAATCATCCTAAACATGGCCCCCAATAAATCCTGATCTCCTAGGCTTCCGCCCCAGCCCACAGCACACGGCACACATGCTCGGCCAGATCCCTGAGTTCAGGAACTATCAGAATAAACTCTCCACTATTCCTGTATGCAAACCCTTTCCTTCAGTCATCCTGGTCTCTGTTCCCTACTTTTGCTCTGCCCTTTTCTGACATTGTGTGCACTGTTCCTCCCACTGGAAATACCCTCCACTCTTTGTCTGATTAGATCCCCTTCTCATCCTTCATATCCCAACCCAAATCCCCCCTTCTTTATAAAACTCCCCTTGCCCACCACACACCATGGTGAGATTTCTCTCCTCTGGACTCTTGTCTATACCACCCACGTGGCTGTAACCATTTAAGGCCTTAAATTATCTAATGCTTTTACACATACACCCACTGGGCATCCTACTCTGCTGGGCATCCTACTCACTTTCAAACATTTTTATTCCTTTTAATATCAAATTTTAAAAAAAGTATTGCTATTTACTCTCTACCCATATAAAAATTATAGAACTGTTTCTATATTGGGTTTAATTACCTAAGTATTAGGGATGAATAAACTGAGGTTGAAAGAGGCTCAGAGACTTCTGACTTCTCTCTATTGTTTTGGAATAACCCTTGGCCCCAGAATCTTACACTTACCATGAAGTTCTTTCTCTCCAGAAAGAATCTGATAGAATATGTGGTAGTTCCCTTTCTCCAGGCTGCTGGAAAATCACCCGGGATTTTTCAAGCAAATCTAGATGATGAGTAATAATGAATAAAGATTCATACTTAGATGTTCTTACAAAACTTAGAAGAAAAGTGATCAGACAGTGCAATGACTATTTACAGATATAGATGTCAGCAGATGACAGTGTACCTCTGGCACCAAAATGCACCCTGATGAATTTGTCCTGGGTGGACATAGAACACAGTCTCCTATTCAAACTTTCAAACAGTTACAATGGCTTTATTATACATAACTTTCAAAGTGACTACTTACCCAAAAGTTAAAAAGAAATTCAACATGGCTTTGAGATGAGTTGGCACCAGCTAATGTCTGGAGGGAGCCAGAATGATTGGCAGGACCGCAGTGGTTCTAGCTTCTAGCCCCAGACTGCCAACTGCTACCTGTGTATTCTTGTGTGCGTTGTGACATTTCTCTGGGCCTCATTGTTAGTATCTAAAAATTAGAAAAATAATATCTGCTTATTATATTCTTTTGTTCATTCAACAAACATGCATTGAGCATCTACTATAATCCAGGAAAGCTGCTCAGCAATGGAGATACCACTCGAGAAAAACAGGCATGGTCCATACTCCTCATGAAGCTTATTTTAAAACTTGTGGGTAAGAGGCTACTGCAACAGCTCTGACAGAGGAATCACAAGAAAAGCCAGTAGTCCTGTAGCTCAGCAGGTAAAAGAAAAGGGACCATAAAACAGAGTCTGGGAAATGGACAAGCAACTCATCATATAAGCCATGTAGAACACAGGAAAGAGTAGGGTTTTATTTTGTATGTGCTTGGAAGACATTGGAAGGTTATAAGCAGAGGAGTGATATGATCTATGTTTCAAAACATGCCTTGGCATAAGTAATAAATAGACACCCTTTCTTTCTTCTCAGTGAAAAGCCATAAGGCAGGATCTAGCACAGCAGAGACACTGTCCAGAGGTGACAGTGCCCATATCAGAATGCCAGATGCAGTTGAGAAGGCCATCTGGTGGCAGCCTGTGGCTTGAGGATGCTGGAGCAGTGAGGAAGGTAGCCTGGTGGAGCCCATCCATGCCAGGAAGGTGACAGAGCCAGACAGCAGCCTGGTAAGAGGAGAGTGGCTATATACAGAGGGGTTGAACAAGGAAGGTAAAAAATGTATAATGGGAATAAGACACACCAACTCTTGTATGTATATATAAACATACACAAATGTATATGTACTTATATATATATGTATGATATGCATATACACAGGTATACATATAGCTACATATATAGTATTAATTGAAAAAATTTAGCCTGGGATTTCATAATTTTTGGACCCCGTTTTCTCTTTTTCCTTCTCCCTTCCTTCTTTCCTTCCTTCCATTTATACATCATTATGTTTGTTTAGCTTCTCTACTTCTTTCCTTCTATTCTTCCAACATTTTTCTTGTTCTTATTCTCTTCCAATTATATTCTTTTCTTCTTTATCTTTCTACTTACTATACTTTCCTTTCCTCCTTTCCTTTTACTTTCTTTCCTTTTCTTTCTTCTTTCCTTTTTTAACTTTCTTTTTCTCTCTTTCCCTTCCTCTCTACCTTCCTTCCACCCCTCCTTCCTTCCCTCTCTCTCTTACTTCTTTTCAGCTTTCTGTCTCTCATATTTCAGCAGAAATTCTCTCAGCATGCTAACAAATCCCAAATCTAGCAGTTGTTTCATGGACCAGTATTTGCACCTGCTATGACTGGCCAGATATTCAAGCAAATTTAAGTGTGGACGGAGCAGCTCTAAGACTTTGGATGGAAACTAGCCAAATTAGCATAAAGCTATTATTTACTTTTACCCAGAGACTCAAACAGAAGCCGTCTGCAAATTTCCTTGTAAATTATATAGTGGCTCCCTGCCACTCATTCTTGGCATAAAATGGATTTGTTAAACTAGATTTTGAAATCTAAGTTCTTCCTGTCAGGGGACTTCTAGTTATCAAAAGCACTTAAAAATACTTTCCCAATAAAAAAAGGCTACAGTGAAAAATAAGCAGGCGCAGGAAGGCCATAGGCAAGAGTAGAAACAATAATCATGGTAAGTGAATTAGGAAATGCCTACTAAATTGACTTGTTATAAGGAGTATAGGAAATTATGAAGGACAATATTTCAAATCTGTAAAATGTAATACAATATAAAGCATTATTGTAATTTTTTGAGTCAGCTTCCGTACTGGGAGTAGAAAGGAATTTGAAACTATTAAGATAAATACTTACTTCCTGAAACTGACCAACTACGCTTCTATTTGGTCGTTTAGACACATATTTATTATATGTGTAATTTTAATTGTCTGACTTTAATCAAAGACCACCTTTGGTGTTCTATATATTTTTTTCATATCTATGTGCTCAAACATGAGTTTTACCATTGCTTAAAAACTAAAGACTCTGATATTATGCTAAATCGTGTTACTTACAAAATGAGAAGAGCTGTCATTTCTCAAGGTTTTCACATTTCCAAATGCTTCCAAGATAGGATTCACTTGCATGATTTGAACTTCTAAAGTCTCCTGGGATACATTCAAGAGAAGAGCTGATGAAGCTTTTAGCAGAATTCTGTAATGTGGCAAGCCCTCCTTTCCCAGGTTGAATCCCATTTTTGTTTTGATAACCAGTAGCAAAAAAGATGCTTCCAAATTTGGTTACAAAATTTTACTTTGGAGTGGAAATTCAGAAAAACAGATGTATATATGAGAGAAACTGACTTAATATACAATGTCCCATGAACATATATGGAAGCTAATTTATTTGTAGTGCTTCTCTTTGGGTTGGCATTGGCCTGAGTGGGAGAAGAAAATAATTATTTTACCAAAATAAATTTTAAAATATCATAGCCTATTTCCAAACAAACTTGATTTCATGTATTAACCCCAATGTTAATCTTCCTCTCTTCCCATCTAATACTCACACCTGGAAATTTATCTATCCTAGGATAACATGGCAGACTCTTGGCATTATTAAATTATATTTTTACTTGCTACCACTCCCAAGCAATCTAAAGATTCACACCAAGCAGTGACTTGTTATGGTATTGATCTGGAATTTGAATCATGCCTGCTCAGGCTGATGGGCCAAAACAGGTCATCCTCACAGAGTGAAGCATGAATGGCCACCTAGCACCCAAATGGCAACATAGCTTTATTGTTTCCACTCAGCCTCAAAGATCCATTATATGGGGGAAATTATATAGTGTGTGGTATTGAAGAACTTACAGATTTATAAATATTATATCCTTTCTAAGTAATATGGGTCTACTGTCCTTCAAATAAGATAAAGGGTATATGTTCATGAGCAAAGGTTTCCATAGAAGAGTTATATATCATCATAAGACTCAATGGCTAGACCAAACCAATTAACATGACAACACAAACCCTAAAATGCATGCAAAAATGAAATTACATCTACTGAGTTATATAGTTTAATAATACCTATAGAAATCGATCAAATTCAGTAATGTGGTAGTTGGAAAAGAAACTTCTCCTATTTGAAATTGGACTAGATGGCTATTTTGATATATTTATTAATTTGCAAAACACAGCAGGTAACATCCATATTGAAATGAAAAAGAAAAATAATGTAAGACATAGTAAGATGAAAGGCCTAACAGCTCAGTAACTCATTGATTTTGAGTTCCACTCAGCATGACTTAATTTTATTTTGCATACCAACCTTCATGGTCTAGTTATCCACAAATTATGATAAAGCCCACTAACCTGTTAATGGAGCTAAACAAAGCAAGCTAAATTAAAAATTGCCAACGACTAAAAAAAATCAAATAGAGAGTGAAGGTAAAGTTATCCTGAACATGGATTGTGATTAAAGTTGAGGGTATGTCCATCAGGCATTTAGCATTTGATCTAGGAGTTAGGAGTGAAGGAAGCAAACTTCTACTGCATATTTCTGGTAGTCTGACATTTCATGGTAGCTAAAGGGATTCAGAAATATCCAAGGCACTAATGACCCTAGCCTTCAGGTGAGATGGTTTGGATCTTGAGGGCATAATTTTCAGAGGGTCCAACCAACAAAGACCAGGCCAGTAAATGCCCCATGAAGCAAATCTGAAACAAATTATGTAATTCAAGTTTTCAGAGTATTGCTTTGGAGCATTTGATGATCCTCTCAATGTGCGATGGAAAGATGGGGAAAAAAGGCTTTTCTATAATTTTCTAATTGTTCTGTGGTTCTTGTTGCCTCCTTACTTCCTGTAAGTGATCAGGGCAGAGCCTCCATGATCCAGTGGTTAGGACCACCCCACCTTTTCTGACAAGATATATGAACACTTATCAGCTTTTTCCTGGATTCTCTCGTGGCTGCCATGGTGGCAAAATACTGGATAATATGTTTAATGTTCACAGTCTTTCCAGCACCAGATTCTCCCCTGTGATTTGAAATTCAGCAACACAGTTAACTTGTTCCGATTATCAATGCAATGAAAGTTAAGTGATTCTGATCATATAGGCTAAGGCAAGCAGGGAAGATTTTATAGAAAAGTGGAACTCAAGATGATACTTGAAGGTATGTGGATATTTAATTAGTTGGGAGATGGGGAAGGACTTCTCAGGCAGCAAAAACAGCATGACTAAGACTCTGGAGTTCAGAAAGATCGAGGACTTTTATAAATATTAAAAAGCCTGTTCCTCATGGTCCTATTAACAAAGAGCAGGACAGCACCTCTGCTCCTCATTACCAACTGTACAAGGGATTCTCATGTATGAAGCCTACCACATGGCCAAGTCTTCTCAGAAGAAGGGCCTACCAATCATTTGACCAGGCAGCATGGCTTTAGGATCCCCTTATCCTTTGACAACCAGCTAACTTTGTAATGTGGGAAGAATACAGCAGTGAATTTATAGGCTCATCACCCAAAGCATCACAGAATCAAGGCTTGCCTTTATCCATATAAAACTCCAGAAAACAGCTGATCCTCTCTGCAAAGGGCTGAATTTGAATTGTCCATGTATCTCTAAGGTTCTGAGACCTTATGATCCCTCTTGGGGTAGTGGAAGCCAATGGAGAGCCCAACACATAGGGTGGCATGATCATTGCACAGGAAGGCCAAGGACTTAAGCACTGCACAGCTTCTTGGGTCTCAGCCACCATGCGGACAGTTCACCTGGCCTGCCAGCACTCTTTCTGTCAAAATTAACATATAATAAGGTATCACCTGCATCTCCTTTTCTTACCCCTCTAAGCCTCACCATCTTTTAGTTCTCTCTACGTAATGTCCCTTGGCCTGCCCCAGTCCGGTTGGCCACAACGGTGTGTTGTCTGTGATTAAGACCAGCTTGTGCACTGAGGTTTCTAAAGAATCTCTTAAAATGGTGGAGGCAGACTAGCTGACACTGTATTTGGAGTAATCACTGACTAAAGCATTATGACAATTTCCCAAGTATCTTACTCTTGCCTAGAATGTATTCTGCATCTAAAGGGCAAACAATTCAAAGACAGTGAATTTAAGTTTTATTCCCAGCGAAACATAAGTGTCTGTCTCCATTGAAACCTACTTCAGCCCCAAAAAGAAAAACAAGGCAAACACTTATGTGAGGAGTATAGACTGATTCTCTTGATCTACAAAAGAAAGAAAAATGTCAGAATATTCTATTGCTAGGGGCTTACGTATTAGCATGACCTTATTCAAAATTTCCCTGGCTGCAGTTTGAAATCAGACACACAGGAAAGGATTTGCTCCATTTACAGTGAGGAAAAAAAGCACCATTTAAATGGTGCAGAGTAAAATAGATTTTCTCTTGCCCCTGTGTATGCCAGTCATAAGAACATATAAATTGGAGGCCTATTTCCTTGCTCCACATACAAATGATAACCAACTAATGGTTGACATTTTTGCCATTTTAAGCCTTTAAGAATGATTGTGTAATAGTAGCTACAGAATACCGTCTTTGTGTCAGACACTACAGCAGATGCTTTATGTAATAAAAGCCACCATCCACAGGGGGCTTACTCTGGGCCAGCCACTGTCCCCAGCACTTTAAATGCATTATCTCACTTTGATGTGCAAGCTAATCGGCCCAATAACCCTAGGAGGTAAGGTACTATTTTGCCCACATTTTATCCAGAACAGAACGGAGGCTTCAAGTGATTAGATAACTGTAAAGGCCATGCTCTGCTCACAATGCCTAAGTGCCTCTTAGTGACACAGAGAAAAAGTAGATCAGATATTTTTACTTTTCATTTTGTAGGGCAGCTACTTACTGTGAAGCATATCCTGAAAAGGCGTTATCGGCCACAGCGAAGATGTGAGGGGGAGCCTCTGATCGCCTCCCCCCTTTGTAGGCAGCCACGACTTCTTTCTGATACACTGGAAGCCATTTGTAAGCGTTCATGGTCACGCAGAAGAGACCTGAATATGTCTGAGGGAAGATCAGAAAAGATTTCAGAAAATAGATTAGAAATATGTCCAGGTCTGTCAGCTCTCTGCTATCAGGGAACGTTTGCTGGAATATTTACTTATGAAGGAACTCAAAAGAAGAGAGCTTTTGGATTCTTATAAAAAAGGGACTTGTAACAGAAAGAGACAGAACCAGGTTAGAGCAACATCGGGACTTGGGATTATCTCTCCCCTGGGACATCTGCTAATGACGAACGCATCTGACACATAGAGCTTCTGAAGACAGGACGCTAACTGCAGGCCTGCAGGGATTTCTGTAACCAGCAATCGGCATGTGAGGCCAGAGCTGAATCTCTGCCTCAGTGAAATGAGAAACTTGACTTTTAGGCCATTGAGAAGGAATAGCTCGTGTGGGTCACTCAGCCACCGAAGTGGTCGAATCATGGTTTCCAAAAAGATACATTTATGTCCTCATCTCCAGAGCCTACAAATGTGATCTTCTTTGGAAAAGGGGTTTTTACAGGTATAATTAAGCTAAGGGGGTCAGAATGACATGTGGGTTGGTTTTCAATCCAATAACTGGTGTCCTCATAATAGACACAGAGAGGGGAAGATGATGTGAGGATGGAAGCAGAGACCAGAGTGATGCAACCACCAGGGACGCCAGTAGCCACCAGAAGCTGAAAGGGACAAGGATTCTCCCCTAGAGCCTCCAGAGGGAGTGCAACCCTATCCATTTGATTTGAGTTCGGACTTCCAGCCTCCAGCACTTTCGTAGATTAATTTCTGTTGTTTAAGCTGCTCAGTTTGTGAGAATGTTGTTATAGCATCCCAGGGAGACTAATACAGTCACATGGTAAATCAGAGAGCTGTGTAGCAACCTGGTTATTTGTCATGGCTTCTGTGGCAATGGGTGCCAGATGCCACATTTTAGCCTAATCTACTGAGCACTGCTTCTGCTGTATAGCTTTTAAATACATCAAAAAATCTGAGCAGCCAAAAATCACCAGTTTAATCATGATGACGAAAATATCTTATTCGTTGACCACTAAGTCTCAGGCACTGAACTGCGTGCTTTACCTACATTCTTTCATTTAATCCTCCAAGCTACCATGGAGAGCCAGGTATTATTGTCCCACTTTACAGATAAGGTGACTTTAAGAAGTCAAGAAACTTAACAACTAGTAAGTGACAGTGCTGGCATTTGAACATTAGTTTATCAGGTTCCAAGCCTCATGCTTTTAATTTAGCATGGTGACCTGTGAGAAAGGACACAAATGGTGACAAAATGAAAGTGGGGAAATGCTAAGATAATGTTCCTCCCCAGTAGACCTTCCTTAAGAACAATCTCCATGCAGGTATGCTTACATTCAATGTAAGATATCACCCAGGAGAGCTTGGGACATTGCCAACATGAGTGCCAGCACGCTATTTCAGCAGTAAGGCATGTTACCCACATAGATCATCCAATGGTCATAGCGCCTCTTTAAGGTGTGCAGTATAGATGCTTCACTGAGGTGAGCCAGTATGGCCATGTCTTCAATCATTTCATACTTTGGAGGATTCATTTGCTGGATTTTTTTCCTCCTTAACATTCAGACTCTGTAGAGAGGAGAGAAATATAAGATATATTTCCCTATTTCTCTTATGCTTATTCATTTTTCCATAGATTAAAAAGAATATCCAGAGTCAAAAAGAAAAAAAAGATGCCTCATCAAGGGGTGGAGACAGAAGAGATTAAACCAACCTCATGGAAGAAGCAGGTATTCACCCTGCCAAAGCCCTCTCCTTCCCTGAAGGTGAATTAAAACGAGTATTGTTGCTCAAGATTTCCTATCTTGCAGTGCCCTAATCTTGTGGTTCCTCTGTGATTTCCTCTGAGAGTACATGGATCATATTATGCATCTCATCTGCGTCCCCCCTTGATGTCCCAACATATCTTGGAGAAGTAGAAGAAACTTGGAGTGGAGGATCAAGGAGCCAGACCTCATCCTTCCAGACTTAGTTCAAGACCTATCTTCTCTCTCAAACCTTCCCCAGGCACCTCAGCTCATCTTTTTTTCCTCTTTTGTTAAGCCTTACCATCTGTACTGTCTTTGCATTAATACTCTCATGTATGTTTCAATAATTGTGTGTGTGGTAGATCAGTGGTCCCCAACCTTTTTGGCACCAGGGACGGTTTCATGGAAGACAGTTTTTCCACAGACGGTTGAGTGGGGGGTAGGGTGGGGGTAGGGGAGCCCAGGCCATGATGCTCGCAATAGGGAGGGGAGTGGCAGTAAGTGGATATGAAGCTTTGTTCTGCTCGCCCTCTGCCACTCATCTCTGGCTGTGCACCCTCCCCACCTCCACACTTCATGGAAGACAATTTTTCTGGGAGGAGGGGGAGGGGGTAGATGGCGGAGTTCTGCACCCCAGTCCTCTGCTACCCTGAGGTTGGGGACTGCAGTGTTAGACTATTTCCGGGCTAGATTATACTGCACCTTGAGAAGGAGTCGACGTTGTCTTCTATGATAGTTATTAAACCAACTATCACAATGCTTGGGGGATGATAGGTACTCAGTAAATATTAATATCTTGATTAATATGGATTCATTTCTACTATAAAATAGTTGCTTGGGGTTCGTCTCAAAAGTTTCCTAACACCTTTTCTATAGCTCTTTTCCTTGACTTATAAATATTGGTGTCAACTGATTGCCTCCATTTAATCCCAGTTGGTGATAGTTTCTTTCCAAGGCTCTCACATTCTTCATATTCTTGATCCAATTCCTAGCCACAAACTTCTTTGACATTGTTCTAACAGTAAAATCCCTTCTCTTTTGACTCCCTTCAGTTCTGTATTTCAAGGACTCCTTCTGTTCTGCCTTCAAACACAAGCAGAACATAATCAGGTCGCTTACATCTTCAAAAACCTCCCCTTTGCCCTGATTCTATTTTTCTCTCTTTTTTCATTACCAACTTTCTTCAATAAGTAGTACTTTACACCCACTGGCTTTACTGCCTTTGTTAATCTTACAAAGACCAAAGGTGATTGGAAGTGTAGTCACTTCTAACATGAGGAAGAGGAAGCCTGGAGCCAGGAGCTACAGATGAGGCTGGGAGAACAGGACCTTCATTACATGGGGGAAGGACAAGGAGGACAAAGTAAATCACCCTCACACTCCTCTTTCTACCTTTCTACTCTTTCTACCATTGATGAAAGCACTAATGGCTTTCATATTCTTCTTCCTATGACTTCTTTTGAACCACTTTGGTATGGCGCTCACTGGCCGCGAAACCTTGCCCACAGCCGGCACTCATAGTCCGCGCGATAGTTTGTGCTGTGCATTGACGACGAGTCTGTTTTGCTCTTGTGTGATAAGGAAAGCTTTAGAGCACTGAAAGCTTGTTCTACTTTACAGGCAGCTTTACTTGTAATGTAAATCAGAATAGGTAACATGTACATATATGTTTTCATTATGTTATTTTTAAATGTTCACAATTTTATTTTGATAAATGAAAAATTAGAAAAGTCATATCATGGCTGTCGGCTAAAGTCGCAGTGTGCGTTCATCTGTGGCTATCGACTATAGTCGATGCTGTTACCAAAGTGGTTAAAATTATACTTGCAACCACATTATATCACAAATCACCTTAAATACTGTTGAAGAGACAGTAGTTTTGCAGAATGTGCTCAAAAGAGCAAGTATCACATCTGAAGACCTAATAAAATTGAGTTGGACACCATTAAGAAAATGAAAAGAAAACGCACAGACTGGGAGGAAATATGTGCAAATAATACATCTGATAAGTGACTTGCATCTAGAAGGTAGAAAGAACTCTTACAACTCAAAAATGAAGAGGCAATAGCCAAATTAAAGAATGGGTAAAGAGCTTGAATAGACATTTCTCTGAAGGACGTATACAAAAAGCCAGTAAGTACATGAAAAGATGCTCAACCTCATTAGTCATTAAGGAAATACAAATAAAAATCACATTAAAATACCACTTCACCTCCACTAGAATGTCTATAATCAAAAAGACAGATAATAAAATGTGTTGATGAGGATGCAGAGAAACTGTAACCCATATGCATTGCTAGTGGAAATGTAAAATGGTACAGCCATTTTGGAAAACAGTTTGGCAGTTCCTCAAAATGCTAAACATAGAGTTACCATATGACGCAGCAGCTCCACTTGTAGACATATAGCCAAGAGAAATGAAAATGGGCACCCACATAAAAACTTGTACAGGCATGTTCATAGCAGCATTGTTCATAATAGCCAGGATACATAAACAACCTAAATGTCCATCAACTGATGAATGAATAAACAACATATGATATACCCATACAGTAGAATAGTATTCAGCTATAAGTAGGAATGATGTATTTATTCATGCTACAACATGAATGAATCTCAAAAACATTATGTTAAGTGAAAGATGTCAGACACAAAAAGCCACCTACTGTATCACTCACTTATCTTAAATGGCCAGAATAGGCAAATTTGGGTTGCCTAGGGCTGGTGAGGGTGAGAAGAAGGGGGAGTGACTGCTAATAGGCACAAGGCTTCTTTTGGGGTTGATGGAAAATATTCCAATATTAGATTAGAATGACTGCTGTACAATTCGTTGACTATATTAAAGACCATGGAATTGTACACTTTAAATAGGTAAACTCTATGGTATGTAAATTTTATCTCAATAAAGTTGTTTTTTAAAACAAGAGAGTTGTTTTTTAAAAAGTTGGCATGAACAATAATGGAAGAGGCAACCAAACCCGCTTCCTCTCTTATAATCAAATATTGTCTCAAGGCTAAATGGCCTAATTGAGTCTCTCTCTTTCATTTGTTTACCGATTTAGGACATTCTGAATTTTCCCTTGCCTACTATTTATGTTCCTGTTGAAAAGGATAAAGTTCCTTTCTTAATTTTATTAATTGTATAAAATCTATCTAATTTGGGATTTTTTTTTTTTACATGCAGATATTGACTGTCAGGAAAAGCATATTAAAGTACCCTAAGAGGTAGCTTATAAGTGACCTCCAGAATTTTACAATTCAAAAGGCAATACTTTATATCATAAATTGTCCAAATACAAAGATAAGAGCACAAAAAAGACAAGTTTTCTTGATAACAACTGTACTTCTTTGTTATAAGATGTGGTTTGCTATGGTTTGGGTAAGTGACAGGTCAAAAGGAGTTTAGAGAAGTGAATCTCAGCAGGGAATCATCTGTAAAATCTACAAGGAAGTGTTCATTCAAGTCAGGGCAGAAATGGGCCCAGGTCACGCCATGGGGGTGGCAGATGACACACGGTGAGTAATTTAGGCCAAGGTTCTGAGAGTGAGCTATCTTCTCAATATTACCCTGCGCTCTGCCTTGATGACAGGGAGAAGGGGTTGTGCACTGTTATGTTTTTACTACCATCCCTCTGTAAACATTATAGTCCAGCTCATGCCCCAAGACTTGACCTAACCTTTGCTTTCAAAGGTCCTAGATGCCTTTCTAATCCTGAAATGCAAGCCTTTCATCTCTTTCTGTAACATTTGACATTACTGGCCATTCCCCCCATGTTTGTTTCTCTGGCACTCTGTTATTTCTATTCAAATCATACATCTCTCTTGATCTCACAAATGTAGCTTGCTACATGGTTCCTTAGGTCTTTATTCACTCCAGGGGGGCACCTTTAAAAAAATACCAACTGGAAACATTGATGAAAGGAGTAGAAATTGTTGTGAGTTCTAGAGTCAATGATCTTTGTTACTGGCAATCATTTTACTCTGATTTATTTAAGGTTCTTCATTAAATTTTTGATGATAAATAAAGGACCTTCTTCAAGATGAATTAAGGACTCCAAAGTGTGACAATGGCATCTCCTACCCAAGGTTTTTAATAAAAATCTTAGAGAAAGGAGGTATTTAATTGTTTGATTAAGTAGAGAACATAGTTATCTCCACAGTAAAATAAAGATTCCTTTACCTTTCCATGCGTAGTCTCAAAAATTATTGTTCCATCATCTTTCTTCCCTTTTACTCAGCCTCCACATAAGCACTCTTGCCACCACGAACCTGACATTTCTTCTTCCCTATAAAGAAAAAAATGGATTATAACTATAGTACTTGTAGAAATATATGTTGGGCACTTTGATACTGATAAATATTGTTTCTGCTCAGTCTGCTTGTTGACATGAGGTCACCAATATAGGACAGTGCACAAAGTTAGATAAAATCGTGAAAGCTCACCCTGAAGATACACCTACATGATAACTCTATGGGAACAAGAAACATCTCAGCAAGCAGAGGCTTGCAAAGTCAAAAAGCATTTTTCTACAATAAACATACCTACCAACACCTGCCAAATGTCACCTCCATCCCCTCCCAACATCAACACTTACCTCCACTCGCAACCCCATGTCCCACCCCCTTCCCAACTCCCTTCCAAAGAGTGTCACTCAGGTCTGGTGACAACTGAGTAAATATTTAGGTTAGTGGTCATGTCCTTTGGGGTTTCTTTAGACCTTATTTTTAATCTTGGAATGAAAGTCTAAGAGAATTCCATGGTAGAATTTGAGGGGGAGTATTAAGGAGAGAAAATATGGGTTATTTTGTCATACAACATAACCAACTCATATTATTTCCTCCCATATGTTATTTTTATCTCTTCAGCCTCTTCACCCCCATGTCCCATCCTTAAGCAAAGCAGCCCTCCACAAAATGATTAAACAACAAGATGGTTTGGGTGGAATGAGCCAGAACTCTTATGAACAGCTAAGGCTTCTCTCAGTCTCACTTAAATACTTATCAAGTTCTCTCCCACCTAAGGCAGATAGCCAGTGACAATGAATAGGAAATATACTATTAAAGGAAAATGAGTCTTAGCAGAAGCTCACAGAAGTCCCCAGGTCACAGCTGTTCAGGCAGATAGGGGGAAGGGTGAGGGGAGAGCATTTGGCTGGAAGAGGGAAAATCCTAGCCCATTCCTAGGGAAGACACAGGTGAAAATCACCCTGCAACCATAGCAAACTCAGTCACCAGCACCACCTCTGGTATATGAATCACAGAGGCTAGAGAGCCCTCACTGCTGCGGGACAGGTGACCCCTCACTAGGTGCTTTCCCAAGAGGTGAACGGCAGGCCTGGGGAAGGAGTGTGTATAAAGGATACAGAAATGGGCACCATCCACCCCTTCTTCCACCATACTTGTGTCTGCAAAGAATTTGGTCATTCACTACTTTCTTGTTATCACAATCTACAATGTGCTGCCTTCTCCGTTTCCCTGATTACAAACAATTCAGTACTAAAACTGCTTGGCAAGAGGATTTTATACTCCCATCTAACTGATTGTGCGTTTACTTTCTACTCGTCGTTTATGTTTTAAATACAGGCTTCACATTGTATTTATTATCTTGGTCTCTTCTTGCAAAAACTGATTTTGCTTTGTGTTATGTCTATGAAAATATGCTTTTGAAAAGCACCCATTTAGCATACATTTTTTGTGTGTGTTTAAGGTAAATGCTCTGCATTTTAAACCAAATGTTATCACTTGAAAGAAACTGGAAGATCACCTGGCACAGATATTCTCTCTCTCTTTCTTCCCCTCTCTCTGTCCTTGTCCCTCTTCCTGAGAGATGAAGGGTTGCCCATAGTCACCTAGCTAATTAGTAGCAGTCATTAGAATAATGACTTTGGGAATGAGATCAGCCTCCTTCTAAATCAGTGCTCCTCCATGACGGCATGCTTCCTCCGGCATATGCTTAGCTTTTCCCTCCCATTCCTCCCGCAAGTAGCAGTCCCACCACCTGCTTCTGTGGAGCCCTTTCTTTCACCACCCCTGGAAACACTTAGTGGGGGTAAGACTTTTCAGACACCCTTTCTTATCTGAGGCCCAGTCTCTGACAGGGATGTTTTTAAAGACGAAGTCAATGAACTCAGCCAACTTTTAATTCCTGTGTTCGTGAATAATGCAGAGCTGGCACTGCAGACAGCAATGGCTTTGAGTCAAGCAGCCTGGGTTGTAGGATTGGCTTTGCTGGTAATGAGATATAAAGCAATCACCTCATCTCTTTAGGACTTAGTTTTCTCATTGTAAAGTAGGTAAAGGTTTCATATCTTTAGATGATTAAATATATTTTCCAACATTAAGATAACATGTATTTATCGGAGAAAACTCTAAAAGTAGAGAAATACATGAAAGAATTTTTTTAATCACCCATAAACAACTCAGAGATAACCACTGTTATCTATTTGAAACATTTCTTTTGAGTCTTCTTTCTATGATATTGATGAAAATTGGAGTTATATTCAGCTTTAAAGTTATTTTTAATGGATTACTTACCTGTTTTAATATACAAAAAATAATTTACATTCGGCTTTCGAACGGCGATTTGTCTTTATCTCTAAAACCACCTGGGCTTCCTCCCTGTCACCCAGCGATTCTAGTTTTCTTTCCCAGGTAATATTGTGTTTGTTCTTCACATTTATAGTCTCACTTGGTCCTCACAGCATGCAGAAAAGAAGACAGGGCAAGTATTAATATTATTATCCCCATTCAGCAGGCTCAGTAACGAAGTGATTTGCTTGAATTACACCTCCAGAGTTGGACTTGGTCAGAGAATTTGAACCAAGACTACTCGCCAAATACTCATTATGGCACTGCTTTCATTTGACCTGAATTCAAAAATGCAAACTCTGTTGTCTACTACCCCGGGAGGAGGAACACCTTTGTCTGGTCCTTTCCTTTTTTGCTGCCAGTGCATTTTTATGAGGAAGAATGGTTTAGCCAAAAAAAATTTAATTAAAAATTATGTAGATTGCTATGTTTTAAGTAATTATTTACAGTGCTAATTCTACTAAATGTATCATCCAATTATCTCTCCTGCTTTGGCCCTGCACCACTCTTATCTTGTCCTCTGTTATCTAACTACCTGTGATAAGCCTCTGCATGACCAATTCTGACCTCAGGGATGGTTCTGTTATTGTATTTGATTTGATGGATTATAATTAGTTACTTTAAAATCCAATCTCAGTAATGAAATCCAATGACTGGAAACTGGGAACTGATCCAGGACTGGTCTCTGATAGAAGTATAATATCCTACATAACTGGATTGAATTATAATTAGTCATATTAAAATCTAATGTTGACAAATTCTAAGTATTAGAACAACATTCAATTTTTAGGCTGCACTGTTGAATAATTTGGGAATTAAGACATGTAGGTGGCTTGATGCTAGGTCATACTGGGAGTCTGGCTTCTAAATCTCCAATTAGCTGAAATTCAGGAGATGGCCATGCAGCCCAGACATGTAAAGGGAGAAGGAGAAAAAAGTAACATTTATTTAGAGATTTAATGTAGAACTTAGCCTTTTTTTTAAAGGCTAAATCCTCATTAACCTTCATCCTTGCCTGTAACTACCAAGAAATTATGAATCTGGGTTAGCAAGTCTCCCAATTATCTTTTGTTGAGTGCTGGCTGAGTGACCCTGCTCCCCTAGAAGACCTCCAGGGGCAAAGTTTCAACATTAGGAAATTATGAAAGGGCCCAGAGATAACTTCAATTACTCCAGCCTTCCCAGAGTCTTTTTCTTTCTTCTTCCTTACAAGGTACAGAACCCCAGCTCCAGTCTAAGTCTCGGTCCCCTCTCTACTATGGTGTTCTCTGATGAGAGGGTTCTGGGAAAGGCCTTATCCATAGCCACCTTTGGAGGATGGGGAGGGTAGTGTGTATTGTAACAGTGGCTCCTGGAAGAGAAGACCTGTCTTAGGGCCACGTAAGTCACACCTGGGCCTAGACTGCCTCCCAGACATCCTGCTCCTCCCTGTGTTCTTCCATTTTTACCAGAACACTCAGACATGCTCAATTGCTCAGAGTCAGAGGTTCATAGAGGCTGATCACACCCCAAGCAAATAAGTTAGCCTCCAGAACTGATGGCTCCTCTCAACCAATCAAATATCTTAGATGCCACCTTTAAGTAGCAAAATAAAGTGAAGCCAGCAACCACCACGAGTCATCAAAGGCCATGGCCTGTAGCCGAAGCAGCTCAGTCTCACTTCTTCTGAGGAAGGCTGCAGTTCTCCAAGCTCTGACAGATCTATCCTTCTCAAATAATCCACCAACAAAGGGTTAGGCCTAAATGTGAGCAGAAAGGATTCACTCAGCAAATAATAGGTACAGGGAAGGAAAAAGTGGAAATGAGGCATCAAGCTCTAAAGGAGAAACCCATTCCCTATAGATAGACCAAAGAGTGTTAGGATTTCTTTGAACTACCTGTGCCCTTTTTTTCTTTCTGCCCTGTCTCAAGTTTATGACAAACTGCGACTCAAGAACATCCGACTCTGGCAGGGCCGACTTGCGCCCTAGACCCGGAAGGCACAGAGTGCTGAGGGCCCACGATGCTTTCAGAGGCCCATGAAAATGTTTTATTTTACAATGAGAAAGAATAGGAATATTATATTCATGCTATACAATAATGATCATGGCCTGGATTATATTTGTCTTTACACCAACATAGTGTATTATAAAATCTGATTTTTAATTTTTTGTGTGGAGCCCCCAAAAGACAAAAGTGCCTAGGGCCAGTGAAAGTCCTAATGCAGCCCTTAGCCACAGAGATCTGACTCAGCAGGGGGTGGGATGGGCCAGACTAAGAATGTTAAGCTGGGAACACTGGGTCCCTCGATGGGAGTGGGGGAGGGGCTTAGAGGTATCTTACTGCATCTATGTAGACAGAGCATTGTGGACAGACTATGGTAACAAAGGGGAGAAGTTATTCAGATAAATGTTCAGTATTAAAGAGTACACGAATTAAAAAGTGAGTTTCTTGGCAGACACGAGTATCTGAAATCAGATGGTTTACAAAAATACAGGTAGATGGGTGTTTGGGAAGACTGGTCAAGAGCAAGAGTGTGGAAGCCCAGGCTGGAGGTGGTGAGCAGATTGTGGGGTGAAGGGAGTGGGGTTGGTAGGAATAAAGGAGTTCACTGGCTCAAGCAAGGCATGCAGCAGTCTGGGTGGGACTGGGTTGCTGGGCAAGTTACCAAGGCGAAAGTCATTGAGCATTCTCTCTATATCAAACACTTGACATATTTTGTCTTTAATTTTCACACTTCATATTAGATAGCAGGGAGAAGAAATAGAAAGTGGGCCATCATAATCCAAAACGAGAGGCCACTCTTTCTATTTGGACCAAAAAACCACAAAAAACAAAAGTCTTCCTCTCTACTCTAGTGTGCAAGGCAAGTATTCCTAGCTCCGTTTACAGATGAGAAGGTAGAGAAGGATTTGCCAAGTTGGCTTAGCTCAGGTGCCACACTTGCGGACAGAGCAGTGCCATGGTCTGCCCACTCCAGAATGAACCGTAATCACTTTCTATCTTGCATATGGTGACAATGAACAAACCCAATAAACTAATGTATTTCACTGCACTTAATCTGCTCTTTTCTTCTTGGTGTGTTGGTTGGATGCCACTTCTGGAATCTAGTTTAAAGGAGTGTGGTTTAAAGCAAAGACTAGTGGTCCAGGCTAAGAGTTAGTTTTATCTCTGCCAGAAAATAGGCATGTGACTTGTAGGAAGTCCCTTAACCCCTGTAGGTGCAGTTTCCTCACCTATGCAGTGCAAGGACTAGTCGTAACATATGGGGACACTTCCGGAGGCGGAGAGGAAAAGGAAAGGTCCTCAAGAGAAACAACATAAGCTGAGGCACTGAGGGTGGCATTTCTCAGGGGAAAGAGACAAAACTGACATTTCTGTAGGTGAACACTCAGATTTATTATAGGATTTGTAATAATTATAATATTAATACCATTAGACATTTGAATGAATAAAATGGATCAAGATAAAGGAAAGCTCTAAAATCTAGGCAGGGAAATTTAGAAGTAGACAATTTGATACACCATAGACTCTTTGGGCAGGGACACGAGGAAATCAGTATTTTAGGAAAATGGCTCTGGCAGCATATTATGGGTAGATTAGGATAGGGAGAAGTGGTAGTCAGGGAGACAAGTCGTGAGTCTGTATTTGTGAGAGAACTGCACTGCATCCTCCTCCGCTTTATGTGTGACTTTCTAGTGGCTTGATTCAGTAGACAGTAGAGCGCAGGAAGGATATTGAGGATCTCTCTCTCTCTCTCTCTCTCTCTCTCTCTCTCTCTCTGTATGTGTATCTACCAATTTCCTGAAAAGATACCTAGCAGTGGATATCTTTCTGCGTAGTGAGAACAGGAGATGGGTAGGAGAAGGAGAGAACTACCTTTCATTTTGTTCCATTCTAGTGTGTTTCAAAGTATGCCATGTTCTTATATTTCACAATTAACAGATTTTTAAAAACTAGTTCTTATTATAACATCTGAGGATAAAAAGATCACATCAAGACACAGAGCGCACAGCTGTGTGAATCTCCTTCCAAGTCTGGGGAGCTTAGCATATTTAAAGGTATGCAAGGAACAGAATGCGTAGGAGCAGGTACTAGAAACTAGGAAACTCCAGGTGCCAGGAATGGGAGGGCCTGGCAACTGTTTGGAGGCAGGTAACCAAAGCCAAGAGAATGAGTCACCTGAGCAAGGGAAGATCAGAATCCTCCTTCTCCTTCCTCTTTGGCCTCTTCTAGCATCCATTAACCCTCTAATGTCCTACTGACCTCTGAATCCCTTTAGGTTCAAGTCATACATATGGCTTTAAAACTTTGTTGAATAATAAATTTGTCACAGCCTGGTCATATCAACACTTTAAAATAGAAAATGAAAGAGCCCAAATGCCCAAAAGAAGTAAACAGATTAACCTTGCCAGCAAAATAAACAGGAAGCTGTATTTTATTAATGACAGAGAAACATAGATGAATACAAAACTAAAGGTAGTTCCTTTAGAAGAAAAAGTTCATCTATATATTGAGAGGAAATTAGAGACTGGTATTTTGGTGCATTTTTGTCAAAGGAGCCTGAGAACCATTGTAAACTTTTATCAGCTACTGCATATATTTAAGAGACAGAGAAGGCAGGGAGCAGGGCTGGAATTGGAGGAGAAGGAGAGGAAAGAACAGGGCACCAGGGCTGTCTGCAAGTAGCTGTGAGTGCCTCATTTCTGGAGTCTGGTGCTCTCTTGGAACATTCAGGAGCTTGATTTATCAACGCATACTGGAATGATCAGTCTCTGGAAATCACATAGCTATGTCTGTAAATGTGTATATGATTCATCAGCCAAACCTGGACATATTTTTTCATACTGTGACTCTTTTGAGAGAGAAAGGAAGTGCTATTAATATTTAAACCAGGGCTGTGCACAGTGGCTCATGCCTGTAATCCTAGCACTTTGGGAGGCCAAGGTGGGAAGATCACTTGAGCCCAGAAGCTTGAGGTTGCAGAGAGCTATGAGCCTGAGCAAGACCCTGTCTCAAAAAAAAAAAAAAAAATTAAACCAGGACAAGAGACATATCTGAGACTACCCCAAGCAAATAGGGACAGACAGACATCCCACTCAGAGAATTGATGACTTAAAATGATAACTTATAAGCTGACAATAAATGTACACTTTTTCCATAACTAAAAAGTCCAGATTACTCATGTTCATGATTCACAGGGCACTTAGACAACACCACTACTATCAGAAAGTTGGATTTAGAGAGAAGCATTAGATCATCGTGCACGTCACATCATTCCGTTTGTAATACAGCAAAATAACGCATCCTATTCTGCTCTGGAGTTCACCTTGGCAGGGACTGAGTGTCAATATAAACCACCATACTTCCATTTACATTGACATGCTACAATGTCCAGGTGTATCTCAGTTACCAGCTAACAAGGTAAAGACAATGATTGAGAAGCCCTTACCAGAAAGGGAGAGTTGAGATACGAGCTTTCCCCCTTGGCCTAGAAAGGATCATGTGGGTCAAACCTAGCTACCCTTGATAGGAAATAAGTTAAAACCTACTATTGAGATGTGACACCAGCCTGGGTGTCCCACCACCCCCATTTGTCCAGAACTGAGGTGTTTCCCAGGACTTGGGACTTTCAGGTAAAAACCAGCAAAGTCTCAGGCAAACCAGGACAAGTTGGTCACCCTACTTTTAGATCTAGTGCCTGTAGTTATTTTAAGACTACAACCTCTAGCTATTTTTATGCTGGTTGTATTTTCTGTGGTTGTCTCCCTCCTCCTCCCCAGGTATTTTGTAAAAAAAAAACTTTTTGAAAATGTCTATTTATTCTCACATTCAATATATATTTATTGTCCATCTATAATTGTCCATTATAGGCTCAGACGTACAGTAACAGGAAGAATAAATACACTCTGCCCTCTTAGAGTAATACATTTGGGTGGGGGCAGGAGTTTCTTCTGTCTTAAATATGGCTACCCCTTAGACAAATCTGTAGAGAAAAATCACAGGTTGGGGAGAGGTGGAGCTGCCCACCCAGCAGAGGTGGCTTGTGAAAAGGATCCCAGAGGGGGCTTGTGAACTTGAAGGGAAGAGGTGAGTTTGTGCAACCACGATTCCCGTCTCACTGTTCAGAGTGGAGACTTTAGCCAGGGTCTGTTTTCTTCACAGGAGAGGCCTTTTCCTCATGTTCTTTCACAAGCTCTTCATGCCCTCTTCATCCTGTGGCCTCTCCTCCAGTGTAACAGTCCCACCCTTGGCCCTCACAGTCTTCCAACATAGAACCCTTGGAGTCATTCATCTCCCATTCCTCCTCCTTTCTCAGGCCCACATTTAGTTATTCACCAAGGTCTCTTGACTCTGTAGTTATCAGAGTCTTTAGCCACTTTCAGCTGGCACAGTTTGGTGTACCTGCTGAGCCCACACTGCTCTGTGAGAAGTGCCTGTTCTTATCCACAGGCAGGAGCCACAAGCAGCCATGTCTGTAAGGTGATACTGGGGTCCTGGCCCAGCTGATCAGAACAGGCTTGAACCCCTAATCCAATCAGTGCCATTCAGGGTGTCTCCCTGCAATGTCGATTTGGGACTTAGGTGCCACTGTCAGTTTGGGCTCTTTGCTGGAATGCAGTGATGCAAACTTGAGGGCTGAGTTGGTGTTGTGGGGTGGGTGTGGTCACGTGGTGCCATCAGGTGGTGCCACAGGCATGCTAGGCAGCAAAGTGTCAATAGAGAGGGAGTCACAAGAATGGTGAGAGGCAGCAGTAAGGGACCAAGGAAAGAGAGCAAGGGAGAGATTGCTTGCTCATGTCTCAAATAGCTTTCCTGGTAACAGTCCCTCCTAAGACCAATATTCAATTCTTGCCTTTGGTTTCCATATGATCTCCTAATAACCTTCCAAGAAGTTCCCATTCCTCCCCCAACTTTAAATGATCTTGAGTGAATGTTTGTTATTTGCCATCAAAATATCTTTAACTAACACATTATGTCTCCCAGTCTTTCTCCTAATACAGGTTCTTATATTTTATCTCCTAAGATAATGTGAAGATTGTATGTAAAAGTCAGCATAATGTCTGGTGCATAGTAAAGTCTTAATCAATGCTAATACTCTTATTACTATTCAGCAAGCATTTGTGTAGTCTTTGAACACTATGTTATATATGTAGGAGAGCTTTACTTTCTAAATTTCTTAGTGAATCTGAGATATGCAAAATCATAATAGAGGATGGCACCATAGGGAAAGAGAGAGGGAAATTTACCACGTGGTAGCTATAGCTGGGTAGATGGAGGTGAGACCAGGAAATCGTCTATTTGGATGTTGATATCTCCTGGGAGGTCACACTTACTCCAGTCTCCTCATTGCTGGCCATGGTAAATCTATCACCCTGCAATCTTATCTCTTTCAGTCAGAGCTAGACAATACATTTCCTGTAGAAGGAATGCATAAATCTGTACTACCTCGGCATTTTAGTGCCTTAACTATAAGTAGAAACTCAAACAATGTATATTAAATAAATGGTTAAAAAGAGTTAAATTAGGCTGGGTGCGGTGGCTCAGGCCTGTAATCCTAGCACTCTGGGAGGCTGAGGCAGCGGATCACTCAAGGTGAGAAGTTCAAAACCAGCCTGCGCAAGAGCGAAACCCCTGTCTGTACTAAAAATAGAAAGAAATTAATTGGCCAACTAAAAATATATAGAAAATTAGCCAGACATGGTGACACATGCCTGTAGTCCCAGCTACTCAGGAGGCTGAGGCAGTAGGATCGCTTGAGCCCAGGAATCTGAGGTTGCTGTGAGCTAGGCTGACGCCACAGCACTCACTCTAGCCTGGGCAACAGAGTGAGACTCTGTCTCAAAAACAACAACAAAAAGAGTTAAATTATTATTGTGTTAGCAACCCCAACAGTTTTCAAGTTAGTTTCATCATAATTGATTAGATACACTTGAGTTCTTCATCAAGCTAGGTTATTATGTGTGTTTACTTTCGAAGCCTTCCACTGCTGGGAAGCTATGATGCAAGTAATAAGAAGAAATATTAATATTCTTTTGAGTAAACGAACACTAAGCATCTCTTGACATAGCCTCTTCCATTATTAAAATCAGAGACAAAGTGCCTGAAAATGAGAATGGATTTACCCAGATGTCAACAGAGGAACAGGAGAATTAGCAAGCACTTAAATGATTCCAAACAAGCTGGAACATATGCCTCAAGGCAGTAAATGAAACATTTTTTGAGTTACAAGGCCCAGTGAATGCCACAAATCTGGGGAAATGCTGCAAGATGTTCTTAATTAGGGACACTACTGGGTAGACAAATAATGCTGGTGCCTCTTAATATTCATGCTGCTGGGATAATCATGTTACATGCCTTAACTCAGAAAGGTTTGCTCAGAAGAAAACTTCTCAGTGCTTACTTACTCTTTGTACACAAATCCACCATCCCTTAACCAGTTACAATACCTGCATTTAACTTATTTATATGCAGTTTCACTCTCTATAAAAGCAGGGGCTTTCTGGCAGGTTTTTGTTCTTAAAATATGAATGTTAAAATGCTGAATTGAATTACAAATCAAGAGTGTTGTACAAGTTGATTATTTGAAGCATTTACTTCAAAGGGTGGTTATGTCAGAACTACAGGTCTGCAGGCAATACAGTTTTTTTGTTTGTTTGTTTTGAGACAGAGTCTTGCTTTGTTGCCCAGGCTAGAGTGAGTGTCATGGCATCAGCCTAGCTCACAGCAACCTCAAACTCCTGGGCTCAAGCAATCCTGCTGCCTCAGCCTCCCTAGTAGCTGGGACTACAGGCATGCGCCACCATGCCCAGCTAATTTTTTCTATATATATATTAGTTGGCCAATTAATTTCTTTCTATTTATAGTAGAGACAGGATTTTGCTCTTGCTCAGGCTGGTTTCGAACTCCTGAGCAATCCGCCCCACCTGGGCCTCCCAGAGAGCTAGGATTACAGGCATGAGCCACCCCGCCTGGCGGCAATACAGTATATACTCCCAGATTCTGCTCCCGTCTCCCTTCGCTTCCCAGCCCACTGCAATAGGCTTTTCCTCCCATCACTCCATCGGAATTGTTCTTTCTAATGATCTCCTAAAGACAAATCCTAATTGGGTGCTTTTCAGTCTTTAATCCTACTCACCCTCTCTGCAGCATTTGCCACTCTTTAGTACTCCCTGGTTTTAGGGATCCCTTTCCCCTTTGCTCTCTTCTCCTGTGGTTCATTTACTAATTAAAGGCCCATCCCCAGTCAAAATCGTGGCTATCAGTGACATTTCTCTATTGCTTCTTCCTTCCACTGGTTCCCCTCTGCCAGCCTCTGCTGGCTCTTCTGTTCCATCCAGGACCAGTCTCCCCAGTCTCTGCTCAAAATGTCAGGTCTCTACACTGAGCTTGTTGCTATTAATCCAGAGAAAAAGTCCTTATTAAATTCGTCATGCATTCACGTTAAAGCATGCCCTCTTAGGATCTGTGGATTAAAAGAGTAATAAGACCTCCAAAAGTTCCCACTCTGGTGGGTACTGGGCTACAGAGATGCAAATTGGTTACTGCCATCCAGTAAGATAAGGGCTGGGGCAGGCGATGGAAAAATTCTCTTCCATGAAAACAGTCTCTGGTGCCAGAAAGGGTGGGGACTGCTGCTTTAGAGCTCTCCACCCCCTGGCCTGCCCTCACCCTGTCTCTCTTTCTCTCTCATCTCCAGGCATGACCTGGCTGGTGCACCACCAGTATGCACCAAGAGCACTCTCTGACCTCTGGGCTTTCGCATGTGATGAACTGGAACACTAAGCCCTGTCCCTCCTCCTCTGGCTAATTCTTAATCATCTTTTGGGTATCCATTAAGCAACATTTCTACAAGAAGGTATTCTCTAGGTTAGTTCTCTCTGATAGATGTTTTCTTAGATTTTACCACTTGTGTCATGATAATCTTCCTTGTACATTATTATTATTTAATTGTCCATCTTTCTAACTAAATATAAGCAATCTTAGGGCAGGAACTAGGTCCATGGCATCAGAGCAGACCTCAGTTCTTTGCACTGAATAGGGCCTTAATAAACACTTAGGGAATGAACCAACAAACAACATAGACCCATCAGTCTGACTCCTGAGTTCCTGCCCCGAGGCATGATGCTATGCTGCCTCCTGGCTGAGCTCTAGCTTAGAGGGATTATGTTCTTGGTTAGAAAAGCTTCTAAACAAGATGCAGCACGTCCATACAGGCAACATGTTCTTAGTTTAAAAAGCATCATTGCCTTACCTTCTAAGTTTGATGAGAAATAAAAATCTAGACTTGTGGTTATAAAAATCTAGATTTGTGGTTATAAAAATGGAGATTTATGGTTCACAAAAATATATGGTAATGATAA